CCCCCCCCCGATACAGTAAAAAAGTGGCATGACTCCCGGGCCTGAAGTACAAGCCGGCGACCGCTTCTTTGTTCACTCATATTCCAGGTTCCTACATCGGTCATCCCCGAGGATCCTTTGCCGGACTTCACGAACGTCTTTCAACTCCGGCATGCCAGCGACGGAAATGAATGTCAGCAATAATTGCTCAACAAAGGTCACTGCCTTAAAAAAGCAAAAGAGAAAGGAAAATTTGCGGTGCTTCTGACGACATGACTGTTTCATGTTCTGAACTGCGCTCGAGCGGCTTTTGCATGAATAACCAGACAAACCATCACCAACAAATCGCGGGGGAGATCGCAGGAGGGATTTAATGGATGCGCGCTCAGTGTCTGAAAATGCGGGCCGCGTCAGACTGCAATGGACTTCCTGAATTGCTCGACCGTCGATAGGCCAGAAAATTCGGAATCCGATCAATCCGCTTGATGGACGAACCCCACGCCGTTCCTGGCCCCGGACTTTTTGCTCCATTCGTACGACGTCAGACTACAGCTGAGCCAAGCCGGTAGGATATAGAAGAATTTTATGGTGCAGATTCACTTTGGCGCACCGATCAGGTAAGGATTTCGGTAATTTGTTGTACTAACGCCATTGTAACCGTTGAAACTACAATGATCATTTAGCTACTGCATCGATCAGCTTTTAAAGGGTAGGAACTGAGCAGCCACTAGACGTTGCAACAGATTCTGAACTCAAGACAAATGAACCCGATCAGACCGCCCATCGCTCACAATCCGAAACCTCCTCCTTGGTTCCTGGCCCTCCTTGATCCACTTCTTTACTTCTGCATCGGTTGCCGTTGTTGCACGGTGCAAAATTTCTTCCGTTTCTCTGGAGTTGAGCTGCGCCACCGCTTGCCATGCGTTGTTGAGGAGAGAGGTCTTTGTCGCATTGTAGAACCAGATGGTGATCAAGATGAATAGGCTGAGGTGCACAACAAGGTTGACCGCGACAATTGTGATGCCGGTATAGTGCTTCGGTACTTGGCATGGAATCATTGACGTGGTCGTGATGGGTGCATAGCTGTCAAATGTCGGAAGCCAATCGTAGTATGCCATACGCGCAACCGTGGTTGTCAATGCCTGCCAGGCCAACGCCGGATTGTCCGTTTCGATGATTGTGTCTCTAAATATGGCGTTGAGTATAGGATTGAGGGCCTTATAGGAGACAGAAGGTATCCCTGGCGTAATAGTGTCCATTGCGGAACAACTTTGGCATGGAGCGGAGATATCGAAATTTTTGACACGTTGTTCCCCCTCAAAAGGCGCCCACATCATTTTATGAATAAAATCATACGTCTCATTCATGGTATGATTGGCAAGCTGGCTTAAGTTACCTTCGTAATCGATCAAGCCACTCTCGAAGCTGAGGTTGTTGGTGATGTTTGGAAACCAAAGGACTGGGTAGGATCCACCTTGTGAATATTAGCAACCGCTTCTCGTGTCTCACTACTTTCATAGATAAGTTACCTCCAGAGAATGACAGATTACGATTCGGGGCCCATGATTTGGACCAATCTTGTTGGTTCTGCTTCAGTTTCCGTATGTCTAACTCCAAAATTGCACGGTCTTTGTTATTATCCACAGATGCTGCGAGCTGCGAGCGAATGGCACCCGTGTCGTAGGATCTCAGCTCGGTGTCCCAGCGTAATGATGGCTCGGAAATGTTGCCTGATCGTGAAGCAAAGATTGAAATTTCCTGCAAATGTTTGATCCGAACACCCCCAATTGTATTGTACCTAATCGCGTCAGCTTTTGATTCGTGCATCTTTGATGTGAACTAACCAGGCGTCGTAACACATGGTCACACTCACGCTAATCTCAGTGGCCATGGAATCTGGCCTCGTGAGGTCTACCCACACACCCCTGTCATACGAGGTGAAGTTTGAATAATTGGTGGGTAAAAATGGGGCAATTGACGTCGACTTGGTGTACGAACGGATGATTAGGAAAGTATGTCCTAGTTCGACGGGCCATACTTGGTCGTTATTATCAGTGAGCGCCGCCCAAGCCGGGGTTTTCTGTTTAGCCATCGGGAAATCACTGTAAAATCTGTGATCTAAAGAACCATTGAATAATGGATCTAGACTGTTTATGAAACCACCGCTTGGTTGGTTGAACGAGCATATTTTGAACATTGGGTCCGCGGAAAAAATCAAATTAGAAGACTTGCATCGAAAAGAGAGCCCGCGCTCTCTTTGATTGAATCGAAGCATCTCGCTGAGCTCGTCCGTAAGTTCTGACGGTTTGGCATAGCCCTGGAAGTAATCACCGCTGTCTTTTCCTAGGCCAAGATAAGGGGCGAATTCCCAGTCAGTAAGGATCGGTCGGACGCAGGAGACCCGCGCATCGAAAACAGCTGCTGTGCCTTCGAATGTGCTAACCATGGATCGGTCAAACTGAGAGCTGATTGGTAGGAGTGTGCGAATGGTCGGCCCGGTATCAGCAATCGAAGTAGTTTGCACTCGAGGCTTTGCGTTGTATTCCGCGAAAGTAGGGAAAGATTGTGGAGATGGCGTCCAGTAACCATCACCTGGTGTTATAGTCCTAGCATATTCCAAGGTATAACCTTTTATATCCATACCGACGGCCCCGAGGGTATGGTGAGAAAATCCATGTACTACACCACTTCGGACATCCCATAGAAGCAGAGTCGATGTGAATTGTGATATAAGCGTGCATAGTGCAAGGATTACCATGAGAGGAAGGATAATACCGCACTTAGTCCAGGACGCATCGTTCCAGAAAGTGAGGATCGAAGTCAAGGGCCCAGTATTCCCATGTCGAGCAACAGAAATAGCTGGCGCATCGGCTAAAAGGACCCCTCTGCCTTGTTTGGCTTCGAGCTGAATGGCGGCAAGCATAGCGACCGCGGTGCTGGCCTGAGTGGCAACCGCCAGTCGGACGGCAAGAGTGGAGAGAGTTACAGCTTGCCCGACCCAACCGTCGATCATGACTGTCGTCCAATGGCTGTTGCTATCATTGCCAAACCATAGGAAAGACAATACCGAAACGGAACCGAGTAGAAGGATGATCGCTCCGATGTTATAGAACACTAAATACTGCCCAAGGCGCCTGGAAAACGGAGTTCTCTTAGGATAGGCGTGAAAAAGAGCTTCAGAAGGTCCGTTCCGTGATACTGGATTCCACGAGAAGCTGTTTGATGACGTTAATGGAGGACCTGGCAATGGGTCCCGTTTCGTTCCATCGCGCCCGTATTGGGAAGGCAGATCAAGTAGCGCATGGCTTGGTTCGGAACTGAAATCTTCGAACTGGCTTCTTGTTCTCATTCTTTCGATGGCTCAAAGTCTTTGAGGAAAAAGGAGGAAATCTTCTTCGATTTGTAGAATTAAGATTTATGGCGGAGAGAGTAAGTGTGAGGTATATAACTTGGTAAGGCGCCTGTTGTTGTACTGGAGCTTAGTTCAGTGACAGTCATTAGCTTTCAATCGAACGCTACACTGAAACTTGAGACTTCAGCCTTCCCCAAACTCTTCGCGTTAAGATCGGTGTCCCAATGCCATCTCACCACGACGTCATCATATCGCAGAAATACGATATGAGGTTGGCTGATATAATGGGCGTAGTACAGTTTGTCTCAGTATCTTAGGCTGTGCAGGAGTTGGATGTAGCACATGTAACCGAAATATTCCAGTCCATCTTTTTGCGGCCATGGAACGACTCGTTCCTATTTATATCATGCGTACGCTGATGTAGAAAGATTCAATAAGTACCTCACGCAATAAAATCTGCTTAGCTCTCCATCTTTTGGCCTACCACAGTGACGCATGTAAATATTGGAAGCAGCAGGGACGGAGCTACGAACCGGAGGGCTCCTTTTTTTTTTATTCTTGGGCAACGCAGTCAATTAGTAGATGTACAATGGCTTGGTGAAAAGGAAATATAAGACATCTGAAAATAGTGTGTGTAAGCTGCCTGACGGCCTGTTCTTGAATTCCTTGTTTCCGTGCAGCCACGTAGTCACAACTTGTGATGCCGCCCCGAGACATACTAGCTCGCCCATGGGACCTTCCAATTTAGAGCTGCAACCAGCCAGATCCTCGTAAAGCCTGACTGTGTCGCTTCTCACGTTGATGCTGTGGTATGTTGGCATGGGTGAAGTAGGTTCCATGACTCAATACTTTTCTATCCATCGCATACATATCTACCACGACGTGTATAAAAAGATCATAAAGCCGCCTTTAGCGCATCCCTCCTGGCCCTCCAATTTCTCCACTTCGGATTCAAGTAATACACCGGAATGCCCGCCAAGAAGAACGCCATGTGGATGGCGCTCAGAATGCCATACGAAGTCCTGTACCCATACCTCTCCAGCATCGGCGTAAGCGCGTATGAAATCGCAAAGCTGATAATATTCTTCGTCCCCACCACAACCACCAATGCCGGGCCCGGCGCCTTCGGCCACACCTCCGCCGCAAACGTCGTCGACGAGATCAAGCTCAGCACAAACGCAAAAAGATACAGCCCCCACGCCACATACACAACCACCCACCCACCATCCCCACCACCGGGCTTCCCATCCGCATAAAATGCATACACCAGCAACCCGGCCGCGCCGACGACGCCGCCAAACGCGAACGGCAGCAGGCGATGCTCGGGCTGGTGCACGCCGCCGTTGTAGCGGCGCGCCATGGCGACGGCGAGGCGGTCACCGACGTAGCCGGCGACGAAGAGCGCGGCGAAAGACGCCGGGATGGAGGCGATGTTGATGAGGCCGACCGAGGCGGCGGACTGGCCGTAGTGCTCCGTCAGCACCGCGCTGTACGACAGCGACATGGCGATCATGCAGCCCGTCGTCACGCTCGGCACCAGCGTCGCGTAGATGATGCCGGGCGCGGTGCAGCACTTGGCCATCTCGACGAAGGACGTGGCGACGATGCGGGCGGCGTTGGGGGCGCGGCCCGGCCAGGGGTGGAGGAGTTGGGCGTAGGTTTTGGGTTGGGTGTCTGAGGGGGAGGAGGAGGAGGAGGTTCCGTAGGCGGCGCTGTACTCGCGGTACTCGTCGTCGGTCATGAGGCGGGTGTTGCCGAAGTCGTCGGTGATGATGACTTGGCCGTCGGCGAAGGTGGGAGGGCGGTGGAAGCGCGTTTCGAAGGCGAATAGGATGGCGAGGATGAGACCGACGCCGCCGGCGATGGTCATGATGCCGTAGTACCAGCGCCATGACAAGGCGGCAACCTCGTAGCTGCTGGCGAGAGTGAGGCTGTTGGATATGATGCTCTGGAGCGACCAGTACAGGCCAAACACTTTGCCTCGTTGATGCACGTAAGTCACCTCAGCCATCATAAGGGGGAGCAACTGGGAATTTGTGAGCGGATGCATTGAGCAGCAAGACGCATAGACTGTACCGATTCCGTAGCTCCACTGGTCAGACCCTGGAAGACTCTGGCAACCAGATGGCCGATGAAGTCACGACTGGCTGCTGCACCAATGCAGGACGCAACCAAGGCTATAGCAGCCAGGAGGAAAGCCGGACGGCGGCCATAAGCAAGAGCAAAAGGCAAAATCAAGTAATTGCCGATACCGGTAAAGAAAGACGGAAGTGTCGCAATCAACATGATTGTATTCGTTGAGTATCCTTCAGGAGCGTAGAGGTTGATGAAGACCAGTATGATGGGGCCAAGAGAGCCGACAACGGCAAGAGACATGAAGGCTGTAAACCATGAGCTTTGTCGGTCTTGGAGGGTAGTGACCAGGATACTCACCGAACCAACAACATGACACAATGACGCCAGCTTTCTTCCAGTAGGAAAAGTTCAGAGGGTCGTTGGGGCTTGAAGAGGGGACTGGTAGCTTGCGGACATGACCTTCCTTGTCAACCAGCACGGTATCTCCGGCTGCCAGCACCGCGGCTTCCTCGAACACCTCAATATGCTCGCCCCGAGTCTTGTCCTTCCACTCACTGTTCTCAGCCATGGTGCACTAAGGATTGAAACGAATTGGCGAAAGGGCCAAGATTCCTTCAACTTCCAAAGCGTGGTCTTCCATTTTATCCAGGTGCCAAGTCGGAAAGCTTCTCGGAAACGGATCGTGAGGATAAGGTAGTCGGCGAGCCGGCGGGCGAGGAATGTGGGCGGCTACGACGCGGGAGCCCGAGCGTCTCCCGAGGCCACGATTTACGCAACCGTCGGGATTTCCGCCAGAAGCGAAGTGGTGGCCGGTGCCAGGATACCTCCCGCGGATCGTCCCTTCGATGGCCGCCACCCGTCTTCCGGACGACATTCCGGCGGTGCCTGTCGAATAGAAGCAGCACTGCTGTGGCGTATTTCAGCTGGTGGCTTCTCTGGGCCGCTACCCCGCAGAATTCCAGCCACTGGGTGGTGAGGCAATGGGCGATCCCCTCCACATGCCGGATGGCATTGGATAAGAGAAGAGCGCGGCATGCGCGGTTGCCGACGGGCGGCGTCACTGCTGCCTTGTCTCACGAGAGCTCACGCGCCGGCATGGGAGACAAGGGGTCCGCGGGGCAGCCAATAGGAGGAGCGCCGATTCAGCCACCCAAACGTAAGCGCCTCTCTCGCGCCTGCAACTGGTGCCGCAAGCAGAAGGTCCGCTGTGATGAATCCCTCCCCTCTTGTCTGAACTGTCGCCTTCGCAACCTCGACTGCGTTACTACTGAACCAAAGAGCGGCAAAGAGCTCTCCTCCGCTGACCGCAAGCACTCCAAAAAGCACTCCAAAAACGAACAGCAACCGCCACCATGTCGCTCGGATCCGGATTCGCCGTATTCCTCAACCACTGCAAGTACCGCCACGAGTCTGCTGGTCCCAACAACTCCAGCCTCGCTCCAGCCGGAGACCTTCAGCACGCCCAGTTCAACTCTCGCCTCCGCAGCGAACGCTCCCCTTCCCGCGACGTGGACCAAGTTTGCGACGCCCGGGACGACGTTCGCGGCCCCTCAGGCATCCAGCCGCGAAGGCCCTCTTCAGTCTCCTCCGAAGCCTCCCACTGAATTTGCAGCTGCTGGCGCCGAAGAACTACGGCCGTCTGCCGTCCTCACCCCGCAAAGTTCTGACTACGCGCTCAACTACGGCGATGAACCCGTGAAGCGCAAGTTCCTTGGCGCCAGCAGCTCGCAAGTCCTTGTTCAGTGGCTCGACCTTTCTTTTTCGCGACGTGGACCCTGGCCCAAAATCTCTCAGTATTTTCGTTACGGCATAACAACAGCCGAAGAATTCTCCCTTAATTTATGGACTTTCCCCAAGCCCTTGCCCCCTTATTCAGAATGCGCCAAGTACCTCTCCGTCTACAAATCCCGAATCTACCCTCTGTTTCCTGTTCTGGACCTCCCGGACCTTGCTCAAATCTTCGCCAAATTTGCCGCCAAAGACGCAAAAAGCCTCAGCGTGTCGGATCTACCTTCCCTTGCTTGCTGCTATGCCGTCACAAGCATCGGAATGGACGCCATTTCTGGCCAGCCATCGGAACCAGCCACTGAATACCTTACCAGTGCCTACTCCATGTACGCCCACATTGTGGCTGTGCCGTATCAAAGATCTATTCAAGCATTGCTACTTCTGGCACTTGCTCTCAGGGCTCGCCACAAAGAAGGAGTCGCTTGGCACGTGATCGGCCATGCAGTTCGCATGGCTCAATCTCTTGGCCTGCATCGCCTCCACAAGGACGCTATACCAGATGCGCTCCGGAAAAATGCGATCCTTGACCGTAATATTTGGTGGTCGCTGTTTTGCCTCGAGAAAATGATGGCCCTTCAAACCGGACGTCCCTCCGCAATCCATGACGAGGACTGTGACCAGTCAACCCCTGCTGCAGATGCCGCTTCTCTGTTCTTGCATCACTTGGTCGGCCTTGCGCAAGTCCAAAGCGCCATTGCACGGAGTATGACCAGCCAAGCCAACCAGAGAAGAGGTATGCGTGAGTTTCTTCACGACACTGCACAACTGGATCATCGACTTGTCGAGTGGGCGCAGAAGCTTCCAAACAATCTCCGCCCCGGCTCCACTCTGTACTGCACTCCGGACGATCAGCCCTTTGCGACCTTTTTCTCGGCGTCATATCACGAAGCGTGAGTGTGACCTTAAAGCTACTTCTTGCATACATACTCAAGGCATGCATGCAGTCTCATCACCCTCCACCGGACGGCTCTGATTCTCGATACGAATGTCTTCCGCGACCAGGTCAAACGTCACGTGCTAGACAGCCAGCCGTCTTACCGGCTAAGCAAAGCGGAAGATATTTGTGTTGCCTCTGCTCGTACCATTGTCCAAGTGCTCAACGAACTCAAGAGCTCATGCGGAGACTTTGTGCATCCCCTTACTGCCTCTTCGCCATTATTGGCTACGTTCGTCCTTACTATCTCTATACTCAAACATCCTGCTCGTTGGAACGTACGGAGTGATCTGGCAGTAAGTATCTGCGACAATCCTTCTCCATGGGCCACCAGCTAAATATTCTGCCAGCTACTTCTGAATATTGCGACATTGACGGAAGGGATGTTTGAGTCGATCGGCCAAGATCCAGCCTTCAACAAAATGTTTGCGCTTATGCGAGATGCCGCCTCTAAGCACACGGAGCACGCAACACCCGCTCCGGAGTTATCTCCTGTCAGTGACCAATCGCAGACAAGCGGAACGGGTATTGTGCACTCCGCACACCGGCTGAATCTTTCCGAATCGACTGCCAATGACGAGTCGTTCCACATTTTCCAATCCACCGATGAACTCAATCTCATAAACGAAGAGCCCTGGTCGCAACTTCTTTCCGGCAATCTGAACTTCGAGACTGGCCCATGGGACTATGATCTCGAAGCGTTTTTGGGGCTACCGCATTTTGATGAGGGGGTCTCAGGGGCATGATGGGAATCCACACTTTCAACTCCGCTTTCCTCTTGACAATGATATCCACATTTTCTTACGGTTGTTGTAATATTACTTCAAAGGCTTTTAAGTTCCGATTCACCTGCATAGCGAAATCTGGGGTTTCCTTTCTTTCCTCGAGCGATTATTGCTAGTATTGCAAATTTGGGCCAGAAACACGAATCGATTGAGCTATAATTTCAAGACCAGTCTCAAACTTCTTTCAACGAGCGTATTTTGCACTTGTCATTTGCTTTCAATGAACCCCAGCGGTAAGGTGGCGCAATGCCCACAACACTCATATACTAGATCCACATCTCCCCTCTCACGCTCCTACTGCCACCTCGGGCTGGATGCTTTGCGTTTGCGGAGCTTCGACTACGGCGATAACCGGGACTTCAACCGATTCCTGAATGTACGGAATACCAGTGAGCCTGAAAGTGCGCTCATCCAAGACTGGCTCGTTGACAGGCTTGAACCTGTTGTGCGGGTCATCCTCGCCATCGCGCTTCGCAACGTTGCTGCCAACATGTTTGGCATTGGGCCAGTGAGTAGTCCCGACGCGCTCTGTATTCAATCGTCAGCGCCCGTTTCCCAAACCATGTGCCGCTGACCAAGAAAGGACATATCCTCAGCCGGAACAAAGACAGGGCGAAGACTCACTCTCAAACGCCTCCCTCTTCCTCCTCAAATCCTCCTGCGTCGCCTCCGCCACGGGCATATAACACGTATAAATCGCAAACCTCGGCCTAGCGCCCTCCTTCCCGGCCGTCGGGCTCAAATTGTAATGCGGCGTCCGGCTATCCCAGAGCAGCAAATCGCCAGGCTCCGCACACAACTTCACCCACTCGCACCCCTTCTCCTCAAGCCACCTCATCCCCCTATCCGTGAACCCATACCACTCATTCGTCCACGCCGGAATCCTCTCGTCGTTCGCCGCCCTCATCGCATCATGAAACTCATCGCTCAGCCTGTGCGCTCCACGACACACGATCAGCCCGCCGTCGTCGGCGCCGTTCGGCAGCAAGTTGACCAGCCCTTGCAGGCAGCGGAAGCCCGGCCGCTCCGGGTCCTGGTCCTGGTGCGGCCAGGGCGAGTTGGCCGGGATGTCGGTGCGGTTGGGGAAGGACGCGTTGAGCGCGTCGAACGAGACGAGCAGGTCGGGCGTGTCGTAGACGGCGGCGAAGGTGTTGATGACGCCCGGTTCGCCGCGGATCGCCCACGCGAAGGACTCGTGCGTTGCGGCGTAGTTGAGGATCATGCCTTTTTCGGTGATGTGCGGGAGGTGCCGCTTGTGGACGGTGCTGGGGTCGTGGCGGTTGAAGCCGAGGTTGCTGGGTGGGATGGCGTTAGAGAGAGAGAGAGGGTTGGTTGGTTGGTGGTGGGGGGAGAGGGGGAGGGAGAGATGGCGTACAAGCCTTCGAGCCATGAGTACATCTCGTCGGCGTACTTGTCGGCACGCTCGCGTGGGATGGCGCCTTTGATGATGGCGTAGCCATCGCGGGAGAGGTCGTCACGGAAGTCACCGTAGACCTTGTCCGACTCGGAGCAGAGCAGACGGTTGGGGCCGGAAGGCTGGGCCTGGAGGGGCTGAGCAGACATGCTTGTGGTGAGTCTTTGTTTCTCTTCAAGTGGTCTGAAGGAAGTTCGGCGTTGGGGTTAACGTCGAGAAAGGGCTTTGGACAGTAGGCGCAAGATTTGGAGCCATTTTAAGGACACTAGCGGTCAGCTTCCTGATCGCAGATCCAAAGAGGATTCCGCTTCCACACGCCTGGCTTCCAATCCATCTGAGCGTTGTCTCCGATCCGGTCTACGCAGAATGAGGTTCCCGGAAAGGTGGGCGGCTGATGGTAGATCCTCCGCAGATGTCCACCTTTCCGATTTAGCGCGGCGTTTCCGACCCGGGACTGCGGGGTTGTAGATGCACGCCCTTTCCGACCCCACAGTACCCCGTGGGGTCTTCCAAGGAACCGAATAAGATCTGTGAGTGATAAGTGGAGTGCTGGCGCAACGAAATGGGCGGTAAAGACTGTGTGGTGGTTCACTGATCCCGAAGTTTCCGAGCTGAAGCCACCATTCCAAGCAACACACCATGTCTTCTCCAAAACAGGATGCCAAGAGACCATTCCGTATCATCATAGTCGGCGGCGGAATCGCTGGGCTCAGCGCAGTAAGCCAATGGCCCTCCCTCTCAAACAAAAAACAACCACTGTCTCTCTAACACACCCATGTCCCCAAACCGCAGGCCATCGCCCTCCGCGGGCCCAACCGGCACATCACCATCCTCGAGCAATCCAGCTTCCTGCGCGAAGTCGGCGCGGCCATCTCGCTCCAACCCAACGCCTCCAAGATCCTCGAGCAGCGCTGGGGCGTCGGCGCGGGTACCGACACCACCGAACCAGCATGCCCGCGCATCGTCGACCGGGGCTTCCGCATCTACTCAACCGCCGGCGAGCTGGTCAAGGAAATCCCGCTGGCGAAAGGCCGGGATGCATACGGCGCGGACCGCGTCGTCTACCACCGCCGCGACCTGCACGCGCTGCTGCTGCACGCCGCCACCAGCGCTTCCCGTCCGCACCCGCCCGCGTCGATCCGGCTGCGCGCGCGCGTCGTGGCTTGCGATCCGGAGGCGGGCACGGTCACGCTCGCGAGCAATGGCGACGACGACGGCGAAGGCGACCGCGAGGACGCTGAAGCCACCACCACGACGACGACCACCACCACCCTGACCGCCGACCTCATCATCGCCGCCGACGGCATCCGCAGCGCCCTGCGCGCCAGCGCCCTCGGCCAGGACCCTCCCCCCTCCGCTATCCCGACAGGCCTCTCAGCGTACCGCTTCATGGTCCCGATATCGCGCTTGCGCGCCGCCGCCCCAGCCTTCACCGCGCGCATCGACCCTGCCGCGCCGTACACCAGCATGGTCATGGGCTGGGACAGGCGGCTCGTCATGGGGCCGTGCCGCACCTCTCCCTCTGACCCCAACGCCGGGGACTACGCCGTCGTGGCGCTCGTGCCGGACGAGCTGATGGCCGGGAATGACGCGGCACCGAGGCAGGGAGCGTCGTGGAATAGCGAAGGCGAGCTGGAGGCGCTGAGGGAGGCGTATCGAGACTTTCCGGAGTGGGTGACGGGGATGTTTGGGTTGGTGGAGGGGGTGATTGGGCTGTGGCAGTTGAGGGATTTGGAGCCGTTGGAGAGGTGGTGCAGGGGCAGGGTCGTACTGGTGGGCGATGCGGCGCATGCCATGTTGCCGACCCAGGGGCAGGGGGCGAGCCAGAGCTTGGAGGATGCGGAGGCGTTGGGGGCGGTGTTTGAGGATGTGGAGGGGTGGGTTGAGAAGGAGGAGGTGGGGAGGAGGTTGGAGGAGATGGTGGCGTGTAGGTATGAGAGGGCGACGCTGATTCAGGCGTATAGTCGGCAGGCGGCGAGGCCGGCCACGAATGGGAAGGACGCGAAGGTTACGCTGTGAGTGCTACCTGTCCCTGAGTAGGAAGGCTTGTTGCAGTAATTACTGACGAACTGATTTTTTGCAGGACGACCGCCGAGTTCATGGATTACAACTGCAATTACAACGGAGCACGAGACTTCCAGCAGAGGCAGCGTAATGGGACAACGATGGCGATGGTCAATGGATGAGTTTTAGCCCATCGAGCTTAACACTTCTTAAACTCTCAGCTACCATAGACCAAATTCAGCAGCCTGACATGTCCACCGGGATATACGAAATCACTTCTCGCAATGACAGCTTTGACACCATACCCTGATACTCTTGTACCGCTTTTCAATACATACAGCCATCATACTGCACCCACAGCTGCGTAGGATATTCTTAACTTGCTGTTTATACTCGAAGTGATGCTCTTGGATATTGGCGACTGGTTTTTGAGTTACCACAACCGAAATCCACCAATACGACGTCCAGTCAGTTCGACCTTAATGCATGTTGATAGCTGGAAGCGTGAATACTCACGAGAACTTGAATCCTTCTTATGAAACGCATCTCCTGCATTCATTGTTTCTTGAATGCAGCCGGACAGCAGCTTTTTGATTGAATCATATCCATTTGTGGCTACATGAGCAAAACAATGCCCCTCGTAGTATTCAATATCTTGAAAGTCGTGATATACGTAGCACCACATTTCTTACAACCATCACACATTAACTGATATCTCCACTGCCCCAGCCTACTCCATCTTGTGCACGTTGCTGTTCTTGCTCCACCTCCGCATCGTCTTTCCGTAAAAGTAGAAGATGATACCGCAACCCGAGAAGAACGTAATGAGTGCCATATTGGTCATGATCGGTGGGATGAATCTGTACAAGATCCTGTCAGCAAAATGCTCTCCATCATACCAAGAAAAGACGAAAGACTTACCCAACCTCCTCGCTCCACGGCGTGATAAACTTGCTGAACCCGTAACCCCACAGATTCTTATTCACCGTGATGCTGACGAACAAGCTTCCCGCGACAGGCTTGTAGCTGTCCACAGCATAGGTACTCGCAATGGCCGGCAGCGCCGCGACCTGTATACCCGCGCACGCATACCCAATAATAACGATAGGCGCCCAGTGCCACTTGTCATCGTACCCCACCGCGACGCACACATTGCCCAAAATCATAATCAGCACGTACGGAATCATCGCGGGCAGACGCATCTCGGGCTCCCTGATGCCGCCATTCCGCGCCGTCAGCTTCGCCGCGACCCAGTCGCTCAGGGGGCCGGCGGTGAAGAGGCCGATGAAAGCGCCGACGAGGATGGCGAAGTTCATGAAGCCGATGACCTCGGAGGAGAAGCCGTAAGGAGGCGCGGCGAAGTTCTGGACTTGGGTGAGGTTGATGGCCAGGAAGGACGAGCACGACCACGACACGACGAAGGACGCGAACTCGACGATCGGGAACGCGAACAGCTTCCATGGGATCCACAGGTCGAGGAAGATGCTGCGCCATGGGTGCGCGTTTGCTTGGTAGATGCCCCATTGCTTCTTTGAGGGTGTGCCGCGGCCAAGCCATGGGTCGCGTTGCGCGGTGGGTGTGGCTTCGAGGTCGACGGCGTTGGCGGCGGCGGTCGAGGTCGCGGTCGGGACTTGGGCGATGCCGTCGCCGCTGGGCGACGCGAATTCGATGGTCGTAGCGTTGTCCTTCTCCTCGGTGGTGGAGGCGGCGGGGGAGACGGCCTTGGCCGGCGGGTGGACGTGGTCGTGCGGCCGGGGGAACTTGGACTCTGGGTACAAGAAGGCGACCAGCAGGCAGCCCAGTCCGAGCAGCCCCGTGTTGAGCCACCAGAAGCTGCGCCAGCCGACGTGGAGCGCCATCGAGCCGGAAATGATCGGGCCAACCCTGAAGACGAGCGAAATTGTCAGCTTCTCCAAGCAGTCGTTGGGGAGAGGGGAGGGGAAAGGGAGTAAGCTCACATCAGCGACCCCATGTATGCGACCCAGTACAACGTGTTCCACTTTCCGCGGTCGTGCAGGAAGAAAATGTCGGCGATGATTGCGGGCTGCATTGTTTCGGCAGGACCGGCGCCAATGCCGTTGACAACGCATGCGCCCATGAAGCTGCCGTACGTCTTGGCTTCGGCGCGCCAGATGGACGAGGCGAAACAGATGAGCGTCGAGAAGAAGAGCACGGGGCGGCGGCCGAACGAAGAGCTAATGGGAACCCTGGACACGATATTATCGTCAGCGTCTTGTGGCACATCGAACAAAGCCAATGGGGAAGCTGAGGAGCTCACCAGATGAAGTTGCTGAAACCCAAGACCAGAATACAGACACCAGTGAACTGAATCGCGTCGGCCAAGCTGCAATTGAAGTCCTCCATGTAGTATTCGAACTGCGGTGCCAGTGCGAGGGGCCCAAAGCCCTGGACGAAGGTGATGTACGTGGTGACAGTGATGGCCGAGGCTTTCCACCATCCGGTCCAGTTGAGCGGGTCGTGCCTGTCGTCCGTGGGCTGTGGGACGAGCACACGGTGCGTCGTGTCGCCAGACTTCACGAAGTGGTGCGAACCGACATCCCGCATGATCTCCGTGCCCGGCAAAATCTCGATGTGGAGCTCATCCTCGATCTCGTGGAGATCCTGAAAAACGGTCAGCTAAAAGTCGGACGAGCGTGGCAAGCTGTTGTACCTTGTCCGTGTAATTCGTCTCCATGATGAGCAGCTTGTTTCCAAGGCCTGGATGCCTCGGGAAAAAAGAGTCGCAGTACTGGAGAATCTGATGATGGCAGCGCTCGCTTGAACTGACTTGGCGTTCTTATATTGTTCTGAGCCGTCTCCCAATTAGACTTCGTGACGCTGAGACATGCGCGTCGCGACTAGGGTATCGTCCAAGCTCTTTGACAATGCAGCTGACAATGTATCCGATTGGTATGAATTGGAGCTCTGGGCGTGTCTGTCGATGGGGAAGCGTGCGGCTGGCGAAAATAAAGTAAGGGAGGGGCGCTGCGCACGGCAATGGAAGGAAGCGTGCCAACACACCGTCTCAGAGTACACGAGACGTTGACAGAGGCGACGATGGTCGTTAATATATGCAAGCTGGGAGCGCCATGCCGTGGGGTAGTGCCACTAACGGGAAGATCCATGTACCCTGAGCCCGCCCGCTTTGGGGAGGATGAAGGAGAAATCCGGGGCCCCGGTCTGATTAGAGCGTGGCTCAAAGAGGCTGGTCGGTCAACCATCAGAATCTGGAAGGGCCCGATGACAGTTGTGCGCGGCACAACAGGCCTTATCGCCCGCGGCCTGTGTATTGGTTGAACCAGGGGGCGAGCGATGCGACCAGCCACGAGCGGCGCGGCGCTATGAACTCTGGACAAAAGTTACTTTCTGAAGCGTGGAGAGGTACACAACGGCGGGCCTGATCGGCGCCCTGAAAGCAAGAGGTACTCACGAGCGCTGGGGAAGCTTCGCAGTGGTAGTCGGCAGTTGGCACACGGCATGCACGCGCCAGCAGTTTTAGGCTGCGACGGCAGTGAGTGACAGGACTTGGAGCTTGGCTTCTGCTAAGTGTGCGCCGGTGGCGGAAGCTTTACCGCCACTGCAGTAGCGTGCGACTGGCGCTGCCATTTCGGCACCTGTGACCCCGGGAAGATCAGCTCCACACCCCGGCAGTTGTTCTGGTCATGATGCCGACTCCTGACACCGTCTATCGTGGCGGCGCATAGGCAGAAACGCATAGCCAGCTGGAACAATCCGATGGCGCTGTCGGCAAAGAGCCAGCGCGCGTCAGTATTTGCGTTTTATTGCGTGGGCTTATCGCGTGGGACCCGGCCTACCAACCAGCCATGGAGCTTCCGTTACGAGGTGCCACGCCGGCGATCTGGGGAAGGGTTCTGTGGGGTTGGTTGCTTGTGTGCGGGGAGCCAAGTGCGGAGAATGCCCGCTCTCGGAATCCGTGCGTTCTTGTGCGAACACGCCAATCAGACCAACTGCTTGTCCACCTTCCATTCCCACGGGCTTTATTATGCAAAAGAAGATCCTTTCATCAGAAGCCAGAGTGACGCAATCCTGAGAGCTTGAGGACCTTCACTTTTGGGAATCAGGATGGACTGTTGCAAGGATGTTGCAAGACTCTGCAGATGTACCGGTTTGCACAGCCGTGGTATCGAGCCGCAATGCCCATGCTTCTCAAACGGGCTAATGCCGTGCGATCAATTTGAATTCCAGCTAGACTCCATTGGCACTACTTCAAGCCATCTGTCTGCACGACAGAGTCAGGGGATCTGCAGTATTTAGGCCCTGCAGACCTCGGGTACTGCCGCTGCATACCCTCGGTAGTCTTCGGCATATGTGTTATCAACACCTCGAGGTACGCGCAATCTGCATCCATCTCGATAAGCGAACCGGCTTTCTGTCTCGGGCGACCAATCGGCTGTCATCCGAAGCAGAAGTGTGCCTTAATTTTAGACCTACCTCATAATCACGATGCCCAGCAAAATCAGGTACGCTAAAGTGTATCTCTTATTGCAATGATGTTAAAAGTAGCTATGGTATTACAACGTGGTGATGAACAGACCAGACTGACAACATTTGTTGACGTCGCGATAAATGGCCAAACCCTGGACACCCCGGCGCGCCAGAACACCTAAAATCCACCACGTGGGCCCCAGATTCTGCGAATTCCCATTGATATTGGCCGCACAGGCTTTCATTTCAAAGTTTCTTTGGATACAGCGGTCAACCTCGCGCCTTAATAAGGGAACAGCAGGGTTTCCCCGCAGACCGTTACCCACCAGCCAATGAAGAATGGACCGATTTGCTTGTCCGCTTGTCTCGGAATCGGAAACATCATGACGATAGCGATCTGGTGCTTCTTGGTGGCTTCATCAAGCTCACGATCTAAAATCGACGTCGGCTTACAGCGGCAGATTTTTCGGCACTTCAACATTTGCGGGGTCACCAAAGTCATCTTTTTTTTTGTGGCAAAGCCTGATATGATTCAGTAACCTCTATGAGAGAGGATACTGGCCATGACCGGAGTCTATGGTCTTTGTCAAAGAAATCCTATGTCTATCTACCCCTATGCAACCGTGGGGAGTAGTCGAATCGTTTTCGCTCATTTTTGAAACCTCTCCCTTTTGAAACCTTTTCCCTAGTCTGACCGTTCTCAAGCATTTCGTTTTCTTCCCCTTTTCTTTTTTTTTTCCAATAACTCGAGCAAAGGTCCAAATCCGCCAGCTTAGGCAATGGCCTCACCGGCCTTCACACTGTTCTTGATCGCCTCGACGTCCATCTCCGGCCTGATCGCGAGTCCAAAGTGCTTCTCATCGGAGTCCGTAACAGCACCATGCCAGAGCGAGTTGAACTGGACCGCCATCTCGTCCCAGGACAGCGCGCGGCACTCGGCCAGGGCGACGGCGTCCTCCAGCAGGCTCTTGTCGGTCATGCTGCCGGTGAACATGGCGGCGACCTCCTCGGGGTGCTTGCGGAGGGTGGCGACGAGCTTGCTCTCGAGGGGCGACAGGCCGAGCGCGGCGGGGACGGCGTTGTACGTGTCGACGGGGATGGGCATGGCCGACAGGCGCGCCAGCGACTTGCGTTCAGGCACCGTCATCTTCGCGTCGAACGCGACGCCGTGGCCGCTCAGGAAGTCGACGACCCAGCGGTTGTACTTGCGGACGGTGTCGCCGTCGGCGAAGTCGATGGCGTCGCGCTTCTGCGGGTCCAGGAGGTCCGGGTGGATCAGCTTCTTGACGCGGGGCCCGTCGAGCACGGCGGGGATGCCGCGACACTCTTGGAGGCGCTGGTTCAGCTCGTCCCAGGACTCGCGGGCGATGACCGAGGTCGCGTCCGGGTGCTGGATCTCCTCGACGAAGACGGAGATGGCGGCGCTGGACACGGCGTCGTGCCAGCTGGCGCCCGCCTTGCGAGCGGCGGGTGGCTTGAGGAGACTGCTGCTGTCGTTGTTGTGGCTCTCGATCTCCTCCCACTCGTCGCCATCCATGCCTTCAAGACCGATGTCGGAGTTGATGTCGGACAGAACGTCCTGCCTGGCAGAGAGATAGGCGTTCATGCCGCGGCGGCGCTCCTCATCGAGGTAGCTACGGTCCATGTCATCGACGTAGTAGAGGACGAGCTGGGCAAGCTGGTCGTGGACGGTGATTTCGTTGTTAGGGCCGGTGCGAACGTGCTGCCAGCGTTCACCGCGGACGAAGATGGGCATGGGGTGCAAGAGAGCGAAGCCGTTAGTGCCGCGCACCTCATGGGCATGAAGCCAGCTTGGACGAAGGACACTGAGAGCGCTGTGTTTCAGGAGCGCACGTTCGGGCATCTTAGGGTCGATGGCGAAGCCGATGTCTCTATCGTCGGAGTAGCGAGCGGCGCGCTCATCCTCAAGGAGGGCCCGGCCGATGGAGCGCAGGCGGTACTTCTCACCCGTGTGCCAAAGCGTGAGTACCTCGATGGTGCGGTCCGGAAAGTCCCAGTCGAAGACATCCGTCATGGCTCTGGTGGTCTGTGAGTTCATCGCGTTCGCGATGACGGCTTCAAGGTCGGTCTTCTTAACCATGCGCGGGACCCAAGGGCCCGCATTGGCGCGCGGTAAGATGGAGCTGTTTGGAAGAACCTGAGCGGCACGCAAGACATCTTCGATAAGAGGCTCGACCTCGATCCTCACATTCCTGTATGTGGCCAGAGCGGCGATACTGTCGTCGACGTTGTAGAGAAGTCGGAAGTCGGCTGAGCGGACCCCACGCTTGAACAGAGCCTTGACGGCGTCCTGCCTGACGTAGATAAGGTCGTTCGCGATGATGCGGTTGTCATCCATTGTCACGATGAGCTTATGGAAAGTCGTCTGCGGTAGTGTCAGCCGTGGCGTTGGCTAGGTCAAAGGTTGCGCGCAGTGCGACGATGTAGAGGTAGGGTGGAGGGTGAGAGAGGGCCAGCCGCAGAAGATCTTAAGTATGTCGAAGAAGACAGTGAATGTACCGATTTGGAAGGTAGGCTCCCAAATGCCACGAGCGCTCCTCTGCGCCGCATGGAAACCAACGGCACTGAAGCTTGTAACAAGGTGAGGCACACAAGCTTTGCAGCGGACAACAGCGCTTCACCTCCTGCCGTCTTCACTTCCTCACCCCGCCCACAACTCACATTTCCTATGCTCCAGATGGATGGCATCACTCATGTTGATTATTGTGTTAGTGCTGCTCCGTAATTTCACGACGGTGAACAATGTGGACATTCTACATTTTTCCTGAACATCTCTCGCGTACTTGCATGACTAGACTAGTTTGAGAACAATGATCCCGTCCGCTTCCTTCCTGGAGTCTACCACATGAGTAAAAGCAGGTCTGAAGCAGTTCTGGCACGATAACACTTTATGAGTAGACAGCAGTACGCAGCGAGGCGTCCGGACTGCCTGCTAGTCTCGCTATGGAGCGTTTACTCCACCAAATCAGACTCCAGGTGCTCAAATCTGGTAGCCGTGACCATTATCGCCGGCTGTACCGTTGTTTTCCAGGTACTCCTCGTCAATCTCGTGCTCGCCGTCCTCCTCATCGCCAACTTCCTCTTCGTGAGTTTTCTCTTCAGAGGCCTTCTCCTCGCCAGCCACCTTCTCGCCAACATCCTCCTGGCCATCCTCATCAATCTCCATACCGCCAACACTACCGCTCTGGGAACGAGACGGAACACTGCGCAGCTGAGGAACCTTCTTCTGCTTGAGGTCGCTCCTGTACACCTCATTCATCAGCGCGCCATTGGTCCTCGTCGGCCGCTTCCCAACGCCGGGCACCTCGCGGCCGCCCCAGTATGCATTGAAGCGCCTGCACAGCTCACCGAGGCGCATGTTCGGATGCTGCTCGAAGGTGCGGCGGATCCACTCGCGCTCCTCCTCGAGGTAGGAGTGCTGCTCGGCGCGGCGCAGGCGCGGGTTGGCGCCGTGCTTGATCAGGAAGCGCTTGACCCAGTACTCGAGCTTGCGGACGTGGTTGTCCTTGGTGAAGTCTACCTCCTCGCGCGTGTACGACTCGGTTTGGATGCGCAGCTCCGAGTTGTCGATGTAGTGCAGCGTCGTCATCGCGAGCTGGTCGAGCTCTTGGTGGTCTTTCGACACGAGGTAGCGGCTGAAGGTCTTGAAGCGCGGGCGGCGGTGGAGGAGCATGAAGCCGTGGTCGCCTGGCGGAATGCGGGATGTGTGTTAGCGGAGGGAGGCTTCATAGCTTGGAGGGAAGATGGGAAAGGCTTGCGGCGTACCAGTGATAGGGATCTCGTTGTCAGTGTAGTTGGCGTGGCCCGGGAAGTGTAGCTCGCCGTACTCAGGACCAGGCTTGACCTTGGCCCAGCTGTTCGGCGGCGGCGAACCGCGGGCAAGGACCAGGATGTCTTCTTCGTCTTTGTCTTCCTCGTCTTCGTCTGTAGCCTCCTCGATCTCGTACGTGATGCGGCGGTTCATGAAGTCGGCTGCGGCGGTGTCATCGGTCGTGACAGACTGGCTACCGTGGTTATCCGCGTTTCCGCCGCGGCGCTGTTGCTCTGAAGCATCGAGAAGCTTGTCAAAGAGCTCCTCGCGAAACACGTCGAACACGGGCTGATCGTCGGGGTGGATGTCCAGGGCATCGTAGAGGTCCTGCAAGTCAGGATTGCGCACGTTATCCTTGGGATCGAAGTCTGGCATGGTAGCGGTGGCGTTGCGGGTGGACTTGGTGTTGGTGTCGGAGGACAGCAGTTGGGAGCGGCGAAGCCAAGGACAAAAATATGACACCCGCTTGCAAGAAAGGTTGTCAGTGCGTGACCGGAGCACGAAATGTAACCCGCGGGTGAATGTTCCGACGCAGGTTTGGAGGAGAAGCATGAAAACATTCAGTCACTTGAACCTAACACTTGCGACACTTTTAAGAGAACTGGCAAACTGTTCGACCTCGCTCAGCAGAGCCGCTTGAATTCGCCCACTCATGTCATACATTCCACTCACAGCTCAATTGCACTCCACCTGCTGTGCTGCTCACTCCGGCTTTAGGGCTGCTCTGGCCGGATAACTCACTCCACCCCAATATCTTGAGCTTGGATAACAACGAAAGCCCATCTGGAGGCACGTAGACGAAATTTGATTTGCACACTTGAGACGCGAGAGGAAATGGCTGGACATTGCTCAATTGTTATTCGCTGTCTGAGGTCGTCATGGACCCATGTGCATGTACAAACTACCAAATAAATGCTGCTCTGGTTCAGGTTACAAGCTGTAGCTCAACGCATGAGCACTGAGGAAGCTTGCGTATGCTTGTGAAAGGGCCTTGTGAGAAGATTGACCCATAAAGTGCTTGCTCAAGGACTGATTCTCCTTGTGCCGCCAGATGATGCAGGAGAACAAAAAAAGAGAAGCCCTCCCAGAGAAATGCTGACAAAACAGAGGAAATGAAATAGTAGATCCGCCGGTGGACACCATCCCCGACGCCAATGCTTGCTTTGATACTGACCATCAGGCCTATTGCGCAGCTGTACTTTGCGAAGCTGCCATTAATTGCAAGCCACTACCGTATCCACGCGGATCCAGGTAGTCAAGTGACAAAACTCTTCCCCCAGTGTATCCTTCTTGCTCTTCTTGCTTTTCTTGCTCTCCTTGCTGTCCTTGCTGTGATCGCTGTGATCGCTGTGATCGCTGTGCTTGCTGTGCTTGCTGTAGCCACTCAAGTGGTTTCTCATCTCTCTTAATTCTTCGACTTCTTCAAGCCGGCGGGGTACAATCCGGAACGATGAATCTCGCTCTCGAGCGACGCCGCGCTCCTGACCGGCCTCTGCTTGCCCGCATGCCTGCCCGTCTGAAGAATCGTGCCGGCCCAGACATCATTGAAAAGGCGCACCTGCTCGTCCCTCGTGTACGCCGCATTCCTCTCTCCGCGCTCGATCTCGTCGGCCATCTGCCTGCCCAGCGCGCGCAGCCACTCGCGCTCCTCGGGCGTGTAGCTCACGACGTCCTGGCGCAGCGACGCCGCGCCGCTGCGCTTCAGGAACTGGCACATCCAGCGGTTGAGGCGCGCGATGTCCGCGGCCGAGTCCCAGTCGATGGGCTGGGGCGCGCGGCCGCCCTGCTTGCGGGACGTGTAGGTGTGCGTCTGCGTGACGCCCGGCTGCGTGTTGTCGACGAAGCGGATGGTGAGGTGCGCCGTCTGGTCGGGCCCGCGGACGAAGTGGTGTTGTTGGTGGAGGAGCCGGAAGCCGTTGCTGCCGGTGACGGGGTCGGAGCGGGAGCGGAGGGCTGTGGTGGCGGGCTGGGAGGAAGGGCCACCGGCGGCGGGGATGATCATGGGGTTGCTTGCGCTGTTGTGGTCGGGGATGACAATGGGGTTGCTGGCGCTGTTTTGGCTGGCGCCGGCGGCATTCGAGACGCTGTGAGAGGAAGAGGTTGCGGCGGTGGCGCGGTTCCTTTGGCCAGTGTTATTGGCCTTCGGACGCTTGGAAGATGGCTTGGACTTCTTCTTAGCAGGAGCCTCCTTCGGCTCGTCGGCGTCATTACGAGGGCGCTTCTCAGCGAGGCGTTCTGACTTGCGCGTGTTGTCCGAAACGGGCTCAGTGGGCTGCTCTTTGGAGTGGACGGCCTCAGTGTGCGGCTCAGTAGCCTTGCGCTTGCTGGGACGAGCAGGTTCGCTAGGCGCCTCGGTAGCCTTGCGCTTTTTGCTACGGACGGCCGGCTTCTTCGCCTTGTCTTTCTTCTGTGGACCGGATGCGGTGCTGCTGTTCATGGCGGCGTTGTTGTTGGTGTCGTTGTTGTTAGGCGTCGGAGGGGGCGGCGGCGGCACTGGCTGCATGGCGGCCCAGTCTTGCTCCCACTCCTGGTCGCTAATGGGTTGGAACGGGGCGAAGACACCTGGATTGCCCCTCTTCTCGAAGTCTCCTTGGTACAATGCGTTGTTGATCAATTTCTTAGTAGCGGCTTCCATGCGTTTCTCGTGGGCAGTCGGCTGAGGACGAGGTGCGACTGCGACGCAAGCGTCAGTTGATGGCTGCAAGCTTGCTGGATTGAACTTCTTACCTTTAGTCTTCTTCTTCGCCGCCGGCCTCTTCGCGGCGGTGCGAACAGAGCGAGCGTTTACAGTAGAGGGCTCAGTGGGAGTAGGGGCGCGACCAGCGCTGCGGAGGTGCATCTTGCCCGGCATCGTTGCGGATAGCTGGACACGGTGTATGCGGAGGGTTTGAGGATGTAGGAGGAAGGGTAGAAGCGCAGAAAGAGCTGCGAAGACTTGCGAAGAGTATGAGAGGCCTGTCTCAATGGGCGAGCGATGCTATTGTGTCGAATACCAATTACAATGGGCGGACAATGCTTAGCTTGTGAAAGGTCGGCGTGAATAGGCAGACAGTGTTTCAGGTTTAGGAGCTCGGGTCGGCCGCGGCGGCGGTGGGGCGAGTTTGTGATGGTGAAAGCTGCAGGGTGAGGCTGGGGGAGAATTTCACGTGTTTTCCGTGTCTATCGGGCGAGACTTAACACTGCGGGACGCGCAGCTCGCCGGTATATTGTCGCTCCAACAAGAAAGAGGCGACTGTTCATCTTTACAATTATATAGATAATGGAGTCCTCAAAAGCACCGCTCAAGGGACCTCTGAGTGAAGGGGGAGCAAAAATAGTACGTGGGATACGCTCAACACGCAAAACAATGACATCACTTCCATTTCCAACCAAGACGTTCAACAATCAATGATCGTTTCGTAACAATCAAACAAAGGAAGAGTCGCATCTTGACAAAGCATACAAACAAAGAACATGGAGTATAATTAACTCGGTGGTCCTTTGTTTCTTTGCTACAAGTGAGCATTGTCTGTAGGTTTACTTATCCAAAACAGAAGCCTGCCTGAGTGCTCTTTTGCTATCGGCGGCTGAAGTCGTCCATACGAAGACGCAAGGGCTGTTATTTTGATCGTGCAACATGAGACCATCTCACAACTTGACGAATAGGGAGAATGATCCATAAGCTGTCTGTGGAGTAACGGTGAATATATACGCGCCAGTAGCGAATAAACAGCGAAAAGCAAACGAAGAGAGACAAATATCATGGGGTCCATCAGATGATCTGTCACAATTTACTACTGAAATCTATATACCTCTGTCGAATGACGGCTGTCATGCCTCTGAACCAAACCCCAATGCCCAAACGACCAAGTCAAAAATTGTACAAGCAGCATGTGAACATCTCTGTTGTTCGCTTTGGGCCTCCCAGATCCCATTTGCTTTCGGCAGACGTGTCAGGCGTCTTAGAACTTTTCCACGCCCGTTCTCACGCGTATGCTCGACTTTCCAGACTACTACTACCTCTCAGGTGGGCGCTGAGCCTCCCAGATCTCAAGCGCCTGTTGTACATACATGTGTCGGGCCTTCTAAGTCCCGTTCACTTCTGACGAATGTGCCAGGCCTCCCAGATCCTGTACATCTTCAGTGTGGTATGCGCTGGGCTTCCCAGATCCCAGTCGCACCTTTCATGCGTGCAGAGCCTCCCAGATCTCATGCAGCGTCAAACGATTTTCAATCTGAAATCTTCCTCTGGAACTTCTTCTGCAATTTCAGAACATGCAGCTTCCCATTCAACACTGCGGTGTATCTGTGAAAGTGGGCAGCCTCTAGCATCCAAAGTGTTCTAAGACTCTGCTGGCCCACTCGTTCAGCCAGCCGATCTGTTCGGCGCTGTTCCAATCGAGATTCTCCACGGTGATCCCCCTGAACTCAGGCCAAGGAAGCTCGATAGGCTTAGCGCCACGGTTGCCATCTTCGTCATTTTGCCAGAAGCGGAGGGGAAGGAAGTGGGCGCCGTTGATGCCGCACTCAAATACCGGGCGTGGGCCGATGAGCTCGAAGCTGCTGACACCGTGGACGGGCTTGTGGGTGGCCGGAGTGGCGGGAGTGGATAAGGCCAGGCCAGCGGGCTTCTTGCTTTGATGGATAGTGGTCTCGGAGGGGTCCTCCGCGGCCTTACTGGCTTGGGGTCTTGCGACGTTGCAACGAGGCTTCGTCGGCTGCTTGGAGGAATGTCGGTCCTTGCTGTCAATCCTCTTCGACTCGTCTTCGTTGTGCAGGCGGAGACTCTCGGCCGACTGCTCGCTTTGCTCGGCACTCTCAAGACTGAGGACGTACGGCTTGGGCTTAGGGCGGACAGCGCGCCGAGAGGACGGTTGCGTTGTTGAAGGAGAGCTGCCCGACTTCTTCACGCCCTTTCTTGATTCCCAGGGTTTCACCGCCTTCAGAAGTCCCACGCTGAAGGGGGCACATATGTCCCATGCATCTTGCACGTTGCGCTGGACCTTTTGCATTGCGTCCTTGAGCGTCGTCGAAACCCAAGCCTTCTTGTACATCGGTGCCCTGGTGGGTGGCGTGTTGCTATTCTGAGGCTTTTGATCGGCACCACGATGGTGCTCGGAAGATTTCTTGGTCAGCTGTTCGCTGGTGCTGTTAATGGTGTTTGCTCTGTCGGCCTTGTCCATATGGTGGTTCCTCATCTGCTTCTTGCTCTTGCGGCTGTCTTCAAAGTTGCCCACAATGTCCATCTCCTCGGCCTTGCGCTTCAGGCAGGGCTCCACAGTGTTATAGATGGGAGCATTCTTTAAGATACGGGTCGGTGAACCACCTTCCTGAGGTTCCTTCCTGAACCGGAGCGCGCGGTGAGGGTCGGACTTAGGCTTGGCCTTTGCCGTGGCCTTCTCCATAGTCATGGGTACCTTCATATCCAGAACAGCACCGAAGGGCCGCAAGCCACCGATTGTGGGAACTACAGGTGTAGTTGTGCTGGAGAGAAGCTGGAGGGGGGCAAGTGGCGGAAGCTGCTCTGACGGCAGAGCATAGCGAGCCCTCTTAGGGGTGGAGCCGTTCATATCATCCGCCGAGGAGCCCTCAAGGCTATCGACCCTGCGCTTACGGCTGGAGTTGGAGCTGTACGGGATAGCGCTGGTCAAGCTTCCACTAGCTATCGAGGCGACAGTTGCCTCATCCGCCTCGTTGACAGGGGCCTCTTCTTGCTTCTTGACAGGCGGGTTCTTCTGATCCTCAGCAGGTGCTATGCTCTCCTTCTTTCGAACCAGGCGCTTGGTCTTGACGTCGAAGAGCCATCCCTCCGGGATGGTCCGGTGCCCGTGTAGCGACGGAGCAACCTTCTCAACCCATGAGTGGGTCGTGGCATTGACCTGGCGTTCAAACATCTCAAAAGTCGGGATGTGCGTAGTTGTAGCTCCTCTAGGGCCTGCGTTGATGGTGGAGTCTGACGGGTAGGTTCGCGGCGCGCCTTCGCCGAGAGGAGAGGACTTGACAGGCGACACGAATCGCTGGTGCGGGAAGCTATGGTGCTCGTAGACCTGCAGATGTCTCATGTTAGCTATATCCTGACGCGCGGCGACGTGTCAAGAAACATACTCGTCTGAAGAGAGCGCGCTGTGGTCTTTCCGCCCCCTTCCTACCCTTGCGCTCTGGGGGACCCTTTGCTTTCCAACCCAGCACTCTGTCAAGCACGAGTATCCTGCGCTGAAAGCTGTTTGGCTTCCTACTCCACTCCGTCTTGGGACGTGGGGAACCGGGCACAGCAAGGATCGCATTTAACTCGTCCATAAACAACGGCATTTTCGGAGTTGGGCGAGTAATGGATTAGTAGGTCAATGGCGGATGGTTCCAGGAGGAGCTAGCAGACTCGAGTTGCTTCGAGGTGGTATAGGGCGAATAATCCGCGGTGGAAAGGTTTGGAGGGGAAGTGGAGTGGAGGAGAAGGGAAGAGGCAAGGCGGGTGCGCCCATAACACTTCATAGCAACGAGCCACGCCCGCCCGATATCATCCCGAGCCGGACCGCCAAGCAGACCAATCAGGTGGTAGCCCTTCTCATTACTGTAACCAGAGTGGTGAGTAATGGACGCTCCCGTTAGAGGTGGAACTTGCCGGGCGTCTTCTCTGGCATCACTCGGAATGTATGACCAGATCGCTGTACCCTCAGAGGTACAGCTCTGCTTTACGTTCCTCATGAACTGTAATGGTAGCCACTACGGCTATTGTTAAGAAAATAGGATCTTCATGTCGAATGGAAAGGCCCGGATGGCTTTTAAACTAACCTGCAAGCGAAGAAAAGTAAAGTTTTATATAGGGTATAGAAATCCACCGCGAGGCATAGCTGGACCAAGTACTATGCACATAAGTCATATATAGATTCCCCATCATCTTTTCAAGATCAAAGGATTGAGTAGAACCATAATTTCTCCCTGGGAAGTTCTGCCCATGTGCACATGTCACGGTAGGGACAGCGTTTGGGCAAGATTGACCAGCCTGAATACGCAGGTCACGAAGAGAAATAGGTAATTGAGCTTCTTGAATTCGATACAGAACGGCACAATGGCCAATGACTGAAGCAAACAAGGATGGTGCAGCTGCACAAAGCACAGCAGATGAGAGCCAATACAAGCCTGACCCTCCCCTTCATCAGCGTACCGAGCCTCCCAGATCTCAGTAAAACACCAAAGGCCATCCAAAGTTACTTCTCTCCGCATGCCAATACCCCCAGGTCCACCTCGCCGCTACATTGTGTCCTTCTTTCCACCGCCAGCCTTATCCTTGGCCTTCTTGCCGCCCTCCACAACATCTCCAGCCGCGCTCTCCTCCGCGCCACCAGCCTCCTTCTCCGCACCCTCCACAGCACGCTTCTTCTGCTCCTTCTTCCTGTGACTCACGTTGCTAACCATAATATCATCCCACAACCTGTACCGCCTCGCCGCCGTCTCGACCGCGCGCTCAGACCTGGCCTCGCGCGGCAGCGACGCGAACTCGCGCGTCTCGCCGTCCTGCGTCGTGTACTTGATAGACACGGAGCGGCCGACCCAGTGGTCGTTGAACTCCTTGGCCAGCTGCTTGTTGGACGGCCGCGGGACCACGCCCTTGTAGCGGCGCGCCTGGTCGCGCAGCCACTGCTTCTCCTCGGGCAGCCACATGGGCGACGAGCCGGCGAAGGCTTGCACGCTGCGCTTCAGCGCTTTGTTCGGGTGCTCGGAGGAGGCGGAGAAGGACGTGAAGGTGCCGACGGCGGCGATGGGGCCGACGCTGCTGTTGGCGGCGGAGTCAGGGTGAGGGCGCTTCTTTGGGTTTGGCTTCTGCGGGAGGGTGGTGGTGGTGGAGGGGGCGCGGGCCATTGGTGCGGTGGGAGCGACTGGGCCGGACACGGTGGGGGCGTGAGGGCGCGGCGGGGCGGGAGCGAGGGGACGAGGCCCGGCTGAAGCAGTGCGGTGAGAGCCACCGGGAGCCGGAGCGGGAGCCAAGTTGGGAACGGGAGCTAAGTTGAGAGCCGGAGCGGGAGTACCACCAGCTGCCGCGCTGAGCTTGTTGAGGTAGTCCACGGTGTTGATCATGGACGCGTTGAGGCTAATGATGGCGTTGCCCAAGTTGTTCATCTTGACTGTTACGTCTCCAATCGCCCGAGAAGTTGCTGCGATGAGCTGTGGATCTACGGACGTGGCGTGGCTCTGCTTCTGAGAAGTGTTGGCAGAGCCTCTGCGGTTCGGACGGACAGCGCGCGGCATGTTGAAGGAAGCCCCGTTGACGGGAATCTGGGGCATGTAGTGGTTAAAGTTGAAGCCGGTGGGTGCCTTCAGGCTTGGAGTGCTTGCTAAGTTTGCGAGGCTTGACTGTCCAAAGTTCAGGAACTGTGGCATAGACGCTGTCGCGGCTGAGCTTGGATATCCCGTTTGGTCGAGAGGAGACATGCGGTACATGGGAGCGACACGGTTAAGCTTCTATCCAATTGTTTCTTAGTGAGCCAGAGCCAAATCATTGGCGGTGGCGTGTGACATTACCTGCGCGGTGCTGCGTTGTCCAGCTTGTTTATTGCCCGAAGATGGCATGCTGGTGTGGTCTTTGTGTTTTTTCGGAAGCGGAGTACCGTCTCCACCACCGAATTGAGCGCGGGTGTCCATATCTGATTTGCGAATGGCGGACATGCGCAACTGTCGTGTGTTGAGCTGAAGCGAAGGTGCAGCAGCTGGATTGCGCGCGGCGTTGGTGCGTAGCAGAAAATGGCCGTGCAGCGGGAGGCAACGCGCGCGCGGCACGCCATTACCATTTGTCCGAGTCGAGTAGGGACTGGTGCTTCCTGTCGCGAGATTCCAGCGTCTCTCGGGCAAAGAGCTGATAGCCTGATCACGTGCGAGGGCACCGCCTTTTGTCGACAAAGCTTTGGGGAATCAGCCACTCGCTCTTCTCTAGCGACGCGTGCGAATCGCCTCATGCAAGACGATAATGCTCGAATTCAAACACCCAAGGCCTTCTTGGCCCCCGGCTCATTCCCCCAGCATCCGCCCATGGCTGTTCTCCATGCAGCATCTTGGTAGCCTCTTTGAAAGAAGCGTAGCAATCAGAGTATCAGTGTCAGGAAAGAGCGCTTCCAATGAGAAGGTCAAACAATCCCCATGCCATGAACAAAGAGAATTACACCTTGGAACTGCTTTGTGCAACGCGCTCCGGATGCTGAACACCCAGAATCCTGATTTCGCTTTTGGGAAGCTCGCTTCTCAATCCACCGCTCGGGACAGGCGCACTTGTTTCGACTTCGGGGGGCACTTCAACGAGATTTGATGTAGAAGATGTGCAAATGACACTATCAGAGTCTGGCATACGCATTACGCTTGATATAAATACAAAGGAGGTTTGAACCACAATCAGGTCTTTGTCTTTTTCTTTTCCCATCCTCAAACCCACGTTTCGATGCCCTGCCTCTACTTCCTCCCGCTGTCTCGCCTGTTGCTCCCTCTAATTTTCCAAATGCCTCCAGCCAATTTTCTTACGGTCCATCGCCGTGAAGATGGCCTCCGTCTGCCTGTCCTCACGCGCCGGCATCGTGACCTGTTCGCCACCATTGTCGACGTACGTGAACACCCTGCCCCGGAAGTGATTGTTGAAGTCCACCGTGACCTGCTTCCTTGAAGGCCTCTCGGGGTGGTCAGCGACGTATTGGCGCAGCCAGTCGTACTCTTCCTCCGTCCACCTCAGCTTGTTCACGTTGGGCCTCATCGTGCCGCATCCGCAGGACCTGCGCATCCACTGTGCGAGCCACTGGTTTAGACGAGAGATGGTCTTCTTGTCGTTCCAGTCGATGTCCGTGGCAGTCTTCCCACGATTGCCCTCCCAGGTGTGTGTCCGCACTCCACTCCTGACACCGTTCTCCACGACGGTGTAACGCTGGGTCAGGAACTCCGTTTGGTCGTAGCCAACCGTGAAGAAGTGTTGCTTCCCGATCAGCTGGAAGCCGTTCGCGCCGACGACTGGATCGTCTCGGGTGCGGTATTGGTTGGCGGGAGCGGCGGCATTTGCTGCGGCTGCGGAGCTGGCGGGCGGGCCCCCAGTGTGGTTTGTTGCGGTGGACGTGCTCGCTGTGGTGGGCATGATGGGAGTTGTGGATGGGCTAGGCGTGCTGTGGGACGTGGCGCCGGTGGCGTTGGCAGTAGGCTCCCGGGTAGCTGCTCTAGGACGCTTCGCTGGTGGCGACACCGAGGAGTCATCCTCAGCATACGTGATGACAGCCTTGCGCTTCCTTAAAGACCTGGTGCTTCCAGAAGGAACAACACCACCAGCAGACTTGCTACCAGTAGGGTTGTTACCGCTCTTCTGCGGCTTGTGTCCCTCGTCATCAGAGCTGCTGCCCTCTGAAGACGTGCTTGATGCCGAACTTGTAGCCTTCTCGCTGCTCTCTTGCTCAGGCGTCTGGTCCGGGGTGTTGGTGGACACTGAGTGTCCAGGAGAGGCCGAAGTAACAGTACGACTCCGCTTAGTAGCGGGGGCATCACTGGCGGAATCCTCCTCAGGCGCCTTCCTCTTCAACACCTGGATTCTGGGATGGGTAGACTGGAGACCGGTGAGCCTAAGAATGATGCCTGAGGGCCGACTATTGCTCACCGACGAACTGCTGTCGCTGTCGGCCGCGGCCTCGCTGTCTGACGACTCAGCCTGCTGGCTGAGGGTGTGCGGAGTGCTCTCCGATGATGTGCCACTAGGGGATGAGGCGTTGATAGTGCTGTCAGCGCCGGCCGGAGGGTGATTGGCGATGGCGGCGGCGGCGGCGGTGGTGGTGGTGGTGGTGGTGGTGGTGGTGCCAGTAGTGGAGACGGGAGGGTGGTGCATAACAGCAGTAGTATTGGCCGTGGCTGTTGGACGGCTGTTGGTGGTGACGCCTCCGCCGGCAGACGTCTGGACAATTTGACCATCCCCGCGAATGCGAGGGTGCATCTGGGGGACGGGCTGACCAAACAGTGGCAGCGTGGAGTGGGAAGGGATGCCCGGAACAAAGAGCTCCCCATCGTCGGCCTGCGCGACGAAAGAACGCCTCGCCAGCGAGTCACGAAAGCGGATTTCGCGGCTGTTGTCATAGAGGAACCTGTCGAGTGGGTTCTCGCGGAAGTGGATTGCATGCTGGACCATGAACATGTCCAGTTCGTCATGCGTCTCGAAGTACTACAGCGGAACGGTTAGGTTTGACGGCGTCAGAGAACGCATGAGGTGCTTACGTAGAGGGAGTCACTAGCTACACACGCCTTGGCTTCGGCGTAGCGGGCCTCAATTTGTTTCAAGAGCGCCGCCTCTTTCATCTTGGCTTGCGACAAGACACGAGCGGCCCTCTTGCGTTGTGCTGCGAGGCGGGTTAGTACTACAGTACAATTGTGGTGCGTGAGCAAGCTTACCGTTGTTGCGAGCGGGAGCGCGGGCTTGGCCACGATTGCGGAGCTCGTAGTGGGTGGGCATCTTCAAGACGGGTGTGGAGAGGAGTTAGGGTGCTGTGTTTGTTTGGATGGTAGGCCGTGAAGCAGAAGTGTCGCAAGCCGTGGTATTGGTGCAGCGAGCGTGAGGGAGGAAGACGTGGAGATGGCTGAAGAGGGAGGAGGAGGGAAGGCATCCGAAGGAAAAGAGAGGGTACTTAACGAGGCAGGTGCACGTGTCTGCGGCCGCTGAGCGCGGGTGGGCCCGCCTGGTGTTTACCCACGCAGTCCGCAGCCGCCGACGCGCCACCCAAAACACGCCCACCCCGGAAGGGACGCGGCTCAACGTACAGTCACCCTACTCTGGAAACAGGCCTGCAACAGGGAGTCTGCCCCAACAAAATCTGGACGGCTCTCTGGGCTCAAGGGCAAGAGTTCCCTTCAGCCCGTCGTAGGACCAGAATAGTCATGTCAATGATGAGATATAAATGGCCTTGACGGTCTCGTAATAGCTGTGAGACGCTATGAGATATAACAGACCTCTAACTAGCCGCATGAAGTACAGACTCGTCACCCGCGAGAGGGCCTCGCGGAACCGGGCCCCGGCGACAACACACCGCCCTATCTTGGAAAGACAAAAGCGACACATCTTCCCAGCACCATGGGTTGATCATTCATCACGCATACATATATGGAAATTCTTGGAAGCTGGCGCTCCTGACTGCTCGGATCTAGCAAACACTGAAACACTACAAGGCTTTGTCTCTCGACATGTGCGCAGTTCTTGGGGCAAATCGTCCATCATATTGGTTCGTGGTTCTTTGGAATATGGCTACCGAAGCAAACAAAGAAGATTACAGAAGGTCTATAGCCAAGCCCTCGTGATCAGCGTCTACTGATGAACCACAGAGCTGCCAGTAGTCTCGTCTGGTGAAAAGTCTAGATAGGAAAGCAAGGGGGGAAAAAAAACAGGCCTTTGTCGTATGAAGGCTCGCCACACCGCTTCCAGAGCTGAGGAACCGCAGGCTCCAGATGGTCCGAAGCCCCTCCCCATGCCCTGGCGATTCGCCTACATCTCGCCATCAGTGTCTTCCTCCTTAAGGTCGTCGCCATCGTCAGCCGAGCCAGTGACATCTCCAGCGCCCTCAGCCGCACTGACATGACCAGAGTCCTCCGCCGAAGCAGACTCCTCCTTCACAGCGACAGCACCACGCCTACACCACTTGCCCTTCAGCGCCGCGAACGCGCCCGTCCTCTCCGCATGGGACGTCAGCGCCTCATTGGTGCGGCGGAACCTCTTCATAACCTTCTTGACGCCATCCCTGCCCGTGACCTCGACGTCCTTGTCGGCGAACTTCTCGTTGAACTGGTCAAACAAGTCCTTGCGGAAGACCTTGGCGTCGTCCTTGTGCTTGTCGGCCAGCTCGCGCAGGAAGGCCGTCTCCTCGGGCACCCACTCGCGCTCGCGTATGTTGGGGCGGGCGCGGGCCGCGCCCTTGCGCAGCACCTGCTGCATGGCCCAGCGGTTGAGCGTCACCATGTGCGCCTCGTCGGCCCAGTCGATGCCGTCCTTGAGCGCGCCGCGGGGATGGTAGCGCTGCGTGTGGAAGCGCGGCACGCCGTCTTTATCGTCCTGCCAGTAGTGCAGCACCAGCTTGTCCGACTGGTCCTCGCCGTTGGCCACGAAGCGCGGCAGCGGAGCGATGGTGCGGAAGCCGCGTGCGCCTGTGATCAGGCCGCGTGCGTCGCGGAGGACTTCGCTGGTGCTCGTTGGCATGTTGCTGCTGCTGCCGGGCGTGGCGGGGGAGGAAGACGAGGCTTGGGGTCGCGCGGATATGTACTTGCGGCGAGGCGTGTACGGCGATCGATAGGCGCGTGACTTGAGCGTGTAGCGGGAGCGCGAGCTTTGTTCGTCGGAGGAGGAGGCTTCACTGTCAGACGATGAGGAGCTGGAGACGGGAGTCGGAGTGCGGTGCTGAACACGTCCATCGGCGGCTTCGTCATTGAGAGAATCTGGGTCGGGAGTTACGACGCGAGCGCGCTTGAAGACCGGCTTGACGGGCTCAGTGGCATCCTCGGAGGCAGATTCTGAATCAGCAATAATATCCTCACTAGGCTCGGCCGCCGTGGATCTGGACATGCTGTCTGGCGTCTGGACTGGCATCCATTTGAGGCTGGCTCTCCATTTCAGGATGTTGAGGCCGGCCTTCATGCTGTTAATCGCGTGGTCCCTCATGGCAGTAGCATTGTTCATCTGTCTGCGGTTCGTGACGGGAGCTTGGCCTTGGACATCGCTGGACATGGTGATGAACTGACTCTGTTGGGCGGATGAGGGACTCCCATCGCGCATAGCTCGCTCCATGATCAGCTGGCCTGTGAAGAGCTCAGCCTCCGACTTGCGAAGATTCTTTAGAGCTTCCGTCTGCAGAGCTTCCACGTGCTCCAGAGAGGGATCTGCGGGTAGAAAGCCAAGGCGCTGACAGTATGACGCGACCACATTGAGGGCCGCGTGCTCCTCTGCATTGGGCGGTTCGTTCGGCATGGGCACTACATTACCCACAGCGCCGCGAATGTAAGTGTGTTTGTGAAGTCCGACAAACATGAAGCCACAGGAGTTGCTACAAGGGCGAATCTTGCCACTGCTGCCGGGAACAAAGAAGGAAGGCTCGCTATCGAGCGTCTGGACAGCGTGGTGGACCATGAGAGTGGTGATAGTGTCGACTTGCTCGCAGCCGTCGTAGACGACGGGAAGATTACGAATCGAATCCCAGCTGGTGATATCATAACGGCCGCGCTTGAGGTCATCATAGATACAAGCGTATTTCTTCTCAAGCTCCTCCATGATCCCTTGGATTTTGGTGCCTTGGGTGAGGACATCAGAGTCACCTGCTTGACCAGGGAGGAGCTCCTCAGAGAGGACTACAATCTTCGTAAATTACAATGCAAAAAGCGGGAGTTGGTAGTGTCTTACCGCTCTGGAAGGCCGGTGCGATGACTGAGGATGAGCTGGTCCACAAAGTCGACATGGTGACAACGTCAGGAAGGTGTATGGACTGCCAGGGCGCAACGATATCGTGGTCAAGCGGTGACGGCGTACAACGCTAATACCGAAGCCTGGATGCAAGTTTTAGGCTGGGTATGGGCGTTGAGGAAAGAAAAGAAAGCAGCCAGTGTTTGAGGAAGGCACGCAGAACGAAGCTTGGGCCAACAAACTTGCGCGCGCCTGCCAAAACTGCAGGTCAGCGGATGACCCTGCATGAGCGGGCGGTTGAGCTCCCACCATCGCGTATATTCCATTGCCAGCGGATGGTTTCCATTGTCGAATCAGGCTTGCTGTTGGGAACAACGCAATGACCAACAAGGACTCTCTCAAGTCTTTGTGTGGCCCTTTGAAGACGGGCAAGAAAGTGACTTTTAAATCACTCTTGAGTCCGTCCTGCTTTCTGTTGCTAACTCTGCCCTCAGCGCCCAAGGTCACGGCCCACATTATCTTTCACATTTTCGCCGCCTGGTCGGTGAGGTATAATCGTTATACTTTCCCCATTAATAGCTGTACAGCCCGCGCCGCAGCATCATGTCCCAATAGTTACATAGCAATAAGCCTCAGTCATCGTATATACATTTCGAATTAGAGTGAGAGGAATTGAAATGTCAACACTGATTTCGTTTTCATCATACATGTAAGCTCTTTGCACTTTTAATCTCAAAACATTTCTCCATTTCTCTCGTCCTCAGTACTCATGAGCATCAGATTTTTACAATGAACAAAGCCCAGAAACAAAACTTCGGGTATCGCTATCAACTGAAAGAGAAAATGAAAGCCGAACTATGCGGAATCGCCCAAAACCACCAGGTATCACTCAACACTCCATCTCCGCTCGCTCTAGTATTCGGCACTCGAAGAGCGCCCAGACGACCTCGCGTCCATGTCAACCTCCAGCTGCGTCATCATTTGACGGACCTCGTGGAGCTTCCTGGGCTTCAAAGTGACCCAGACCTGTCCATCGGCCGTCTCCAGCCCAATGCGCCTTCCAGGCCACTCTTGGTTGTACAGGTCCGTCAGCTCATCCTCGTCCTCGATACCGTGGTTCATGAGATCCGCGACACCCATCTCTTCGCAAAGGGTCCACACGTTGTGGATTTTACGAGTGTCGGCTGCTCCCATGCGGGCACGCTCTCTCTCGAAGTTGCCGAAGTTGCTGGGGTCGAGGTGAATCTCGTTGCCCTCGTCGTCTTCAACGACCAAGATGTCGTCCCTCATGCGTTCCTTGCCCTTGTTACGCTTCGGCTGTCTCGGCGTCCTCACTTCGACACTGCCTGTCTCAGAGGGTGTGCGACGGTCGCTGAGGATCTGGACAGGACCAGGAGTCAGCGCATCGTCATCAAAGCGAGCGTACGCATCCTCATAGCCGTAGTCCTCTTCGTTGTCGTCGCAATTCCCCTCATCCTCATCCTCGGTCGGGTCGTCCTCGTTGTAAATGCGGGAGTCGCCGTCGGAGTCCTCACCATCTTGGAACTGCTGCCTGTAGCCAAACCAATCCGAGCCTTGGCTGCTGCCAGCATCCGGGGCGATGATGGTGACGCCGGGGGTGGAGGAGGAGGCCGGGGACGCGTCCACGCCAGATCCGGTCTGCTGAGCATGTCCGCAAGGGTTGCTCGGCGTGGGCGTGGTGAAGCGCGACGGCGGCGAGGAGTAATCGGCGTTGTCGTCATAGCTGCTTGTCGCTGGCTGCGTGGTGGCTGAGGAAACGAGGACAGTGCTGCGCTGCGGACGCGCGTTGCTGGCGTTGGTGGTGACCCTGCCCAGGTTGCGACCCATGATCCTCTGGATCGTCTCACTCTGGGTGAGGATCTTTGGCAGCTTGAACCCGACCTCTTCACCTGGCGGCTTCGCAGGCGTCTTGATGGTGAGATCCGACATGTCGTCGGAGAGCTCGGACTCTTCATCGTCATCACTCAAGACGATGATCTCCTGGGAGGGAGCGACAGCTTCTTGCTGGCTGGCCAGCGGCGTAGGCGACTTCGCTTTCCTGACTCGCAGCTTGGTCCTCTTGCTAGCAGGTCCAGACGCAGTGTCTGAGGCTGACGAATCAGAAATTCTCCGAGCACGGCGACGGCTCGAAGCAGGGGCGGGTGTGAGAGGCGACACGGTGGGGCGCTGAGGCAACATGGCCTCCATTTCCTCCAGCGATGGTGTGTACGGAAGCTGTGCGCGGGGTGTTTTCGGGACAAGCGTCTCTTCATCGCTGGTGTTAGTGATAGAGGCCTCGCTCTTAGGCTTGGCAAGGGCCTCTTCGCGGGAAACCGCCGGCGCAACGTTCTCGATGCTCCTCTCGATTCCAACCTGGCCGCTCGCGCTGGGTCCGGAATTGCTGCTCAGCCGGAGTCTCTCCATGTACCGACCAATGAACCGGCTGAAGGGAGTCTTCACAATCCTCATCGAGCTCTCCGCCTCCTTCGGAGGAGTGCTGGGTTCCGGAGCAGGCAGCGAATCCCGGTAGCGGCTCCAGACCATAGACCGGAGCGGTTCCGAAAGCTCGTAGTAGCGAGGAGCTTCCTCCTGGGCTTCGGCTTGCTGGTCCGACTCTGTCTGAGGGCTCTGCTGCGCTGGCGTTGAATCCGTGAGGACCTCTTCGAGCATCCTCTTCTGCGTGCGAGTCATCCTGCCGCCGATCTCCAGCAGCTCTGCCTCCAGCGCTTCCTTCTCTCGCGCGTCTGCCTCGGCCTTCCTCCTGCTGCGCGTCTCCCGGTTCTTCTTGGCCCTCATGGCTTTCTCCTCCTTCGACCCCTTCGGCGGGTTTTCCTCAAGGAACTGCGCCATGACTTCCTCCATGCGCTGGAGGTACGCCTTCGTAAGGACAACGTCAATGTCATCATGTTCATCGTCAATTTCCGCGACGAAACCGCAGTTGCCCAGTGCGAAGTTTTGGCGCACCGTCGCCTCGAAGCTGTTGGTGCGCTGCACCGCGAGTCTCATGCGGGAGAAGAGCGTGTGGATGTCTTCGTACTCGACATCCTGCGCCTTGCGTGCCTTCTTGGCAACATCCCAAGGTGGGTGGCGGTCCAGCGCGGTCTCGATGATGCGCTGCTCGGCATCGGCCTGCTGCTCTTCGGTTGGAGGGTGGATGGCAGAGTTCTGCCGGAGACGATGGACGAGGGCGCCATGGATAGGCGTGTCCCTGATGTTGCTGGTAGGGTAGACAACCGATGGCACGATGATTCCGCGTGCCGGCGGGTAGAAGGCGTCGCTTGGCGTAGGGATGCTGTCGATGCCTACAGCGTCTTGCATCTCATCGTCCTCGGTGTTTGGGGAGTTAGGGCACTCAGCCGGCGAGCTGACCTCGAAGTCCTGGTCATCGTCGCCCTCATATATCGTGAAGCGGCCTGGTGCGGCAAGAGCCGTACCTGCCAGCCGGGCACTCTTCCTCGTGCCCTCGACCTGGGGAGCTGCTGCCGTGGTAGACTGGGCCTGGACAACTGCCGTCATGCTGGTGGATGCTTTGCTGCTCTTCTTTGCCTTCTTGTTGTCCCCCTTCTTTTGATTGCTCTTGGTGGAGGTCTTGCTCACCTTCTTCGTGTTGGTAATGCCCATGGCGACGAGATCGTCGTCCAGCTCGCGGTCCTTAGCCGATCCAGGCTTAGGTGTCTCAAGAGCGTCGAAGACACCGGGGTTACCCGCCTTGTCGAGATCGGCTTGCTTCTTCATGTTCGTGAGAAGCGTCTTGACTGACTTCTCGCTGCCATCGGGCATGGGAGAAGGCAACTCAGGCTCCGTCCTGCGGAGCAGTGAGTTCACAAGACGCTTGTTGTCGCCGTGGACGTCCTTGAGTAGCTCGGCAGCTATGTCCGTCTCTTTCTTGTCTTGGTTTGACATGGCTGAATATCTGTACGGTTGAGTAGCGAAGTTGGTTGTGGTTGGAAATGCGAAGATTCAAGGTTGTAGAGGTGGTGGTTAAAGAGGGGAGAAGCAGGTTTGTGGGGAAAGATAAGTTCGCGCCATGGAAGTGAGTGTTTTTGAGCCGAAGCCATGCGAGATGTGTTAGGATACAATGTGTAGCGTTAAGTGTACAATGGACTTGGTAGATGGAGTGATTGAACAGCTAAAGGACGCGCCATCTCGGTGCCCCACTTTATCCGTGCCATGCTCCAGCTACCACTCACGGAAGATCTTAGTTAGGCAAAATTATCACAATTTGAATAATCATTGACTACTCCATCGTTGGAGAACAAAGTCATAAACAAACTCGTGTAGACATCACATGAGAGTAGGAAATCAGAATTACCAAAATGACTAACTCAGCAGATGTGGGATTGTCAAACCAGTTCGCATTTTTCAGATATTTGATAGCATGTAGTGACAAGATGAAACATCACGAAAACCAAACGCACTGACGCGTTTCTTGAAAATTTATCTTTTCCTTGTTTTTAAATCCAGACTAAGACCTTTCAACGCCACTATCCTTGGATTATTTGAGCTCATCTAGTTCTATGAGAAAGTCAAGTCTCGCTTTTTAACCTATGAACCAAAACAGTGAATTGAAGCCAGTTACCAGAGGTTCACAGCTCCTCCTCGCCATCCGAACCGGCAACATCCTTTTCCTCCGCCTCCGTTTCCTTCTTGGAACGCTTACGACTAAGCGGGACTCCCAGCTCCTTCAAGATCCTCTTTCGATTCAGGACGCTGTCAACACCCGGAGCCTCACGGGGCGGACGAACAGCCTCCTCCTTGTCCTGCTTGCCGTTGTACGTGGCCCTGATCATCTTGCCAGCAAACCTCTCGTTCAACCTCTTGGCCATCTCCTTCGCGACTTCAGGGCGACTGAGCTCGCTGTCCTCCTTACCCGTCTCCTCCCTCCACTCCTTCTTCCACTTCCTCGCCTCCTCCCACAAGACCTCAATCTCCTCATCGCAGTACTTCCGCTTGTACATATCCACCCTAACCCTCGCGCACTCCCACCGACACAACTTCTGCGTAACCCACTTATTCAAATCCCGAATATCCTCACTACTATTAAAATCAATCGGCACGTCGCGCTTCTTCCCACGCCGCACGTACGCCTCGCGCAGCACGACGCCGCCGGGCGGCGCCGTCGTCTCGTTGACGAACCACAGCTCCGTGGGCGGCTGCTCCTGGCCCTCGGCCAGGTGCTTCTCGAGCTTGTAGTGCGGCACCGGGTGCAGCAGGACGGTGTGGGCTTTCGCGCCGACAACCCATTCCGGCGGGTTCTTCGGGTCGCGCATCTCGTCGGCCGTCGGCATCGGCGGGTACCGCCCGGAGCGGCGGAGCGCCATGAGCTCGGCGTGCTTGGCTTGGATGTGGGGCGGGATGGCGAGGTTGGGAGCTTTGGTTCGGGGGCGGGGGATGGGGACGGCCTTCTCGGCAGGGGAAGCAGCAGCGGTCGTGGCGGTGGTGGTGGTGGAAGTGAGGATGACCGGCTCGGTGTGCTGCTGCTGCGGTTCAGGCTCTGAAGGGGACGGAGACTGGGTCGGACCGCTTCTGGTCAGCTCGGTGGTGACGGCGGCTTCGGGAGAGGTGGTGGACTCGTCGGACCGCATCTTCTCAAGGAGCGCAGCCGTGCTCTCCTTGACACCCTTGTTCTTCCGACCGAGGACTAGAAGGGATGGCAGACTGCTTCCCGTGCTCTTCTGCTTGGGAACGCTCTTCGATTTGGGAACGTTCTTTGATCTTGGGGCATCCTTTGATTTGGGGGCGTCTTTTGTTTTAGGAGCGCCTTGTGGTTTGGGAGTATCGTTTGACTTGGGAGCGCTCTTCACTTGCTTGAGGACACTCTTCGCCTTGGGAGAAGCCGTATGCTGGGGGGCAAGCATTTGTTCGGGATTAGCGTGCGCTTGGGAGAAGCGTGCACGCTTGGGACTGGCGGGCGCGGTGGGAACCTCCGCCGCCTTGTCTGCCTTACGCTTGCGCAAAGACCTGGCTCGTCCCTGGGTAGAGACCTCTTCGGGTGTGCCCAAGTTGTTGACACTAACATGCTTGGATGAAGTGTCGTGCTGGAGAGCTGGAGCCGACGGGCTCGTAGGAGTGCTACGGCGCTTCTTCGTCTGGGGTTGCTCGCCAGTGTCACTGGTGTCAGCCGCCTGACGCTTCTTTAAGGATTGTCCAAAGAAGGTGGGGATGCTGTCAAGGTTCCTATTGGTTGTTGAAGCTCCATCTTCAGGAACGGTCCTGGAGGCAACGGCCTTGCGGATGTCTGCGAAGGAGGCATCTGTGTTAGCCAACGACAGAAGAGCGTGAGCAGCTTCTTCATCCGTCATGGGAGCCCCTTCACGCTGCCAGTCAGAGCTTCCGCTATCAGTATCGTTGACGTTGATGTTAGGTGTGGCGGCAGCATCGCCGGACTTGCTCATGGATACTAAGATATGCGCGGCTTCAATATCCTCCGGCGTCATGGTATCTAGAGAATGCTTTGTTGACGGGTTGCCATTGGAGGCTGTTGCAGATGACAGCTTGGGCGATTGGGTGCCAGGCCTTTGGGCCTTGGAGGTGCGCTTCCCATTTTGGTTGGACAGCGGGCCGGGCTCTGCGCGGACGTTGCTGGTTGGGAATGTCATCGCAAGTGGGTCTTTCATGCCGGTTGGTCGTGCCATGGCATCTATGGTCACGATCGTCAGAACTACAGTATGACCCCGGACTTTATTGATTGACTTACCGCCTGATACGTGGCGATCGCGGAGAGTGGGAGAGCTATCGGTGGAGGGCATGTTGGATATTCGGATGTGTCCTGAATGTAGCTGGAATGAATGCTGTTAGCTGGGTGGACTTCGTTCTGTCTGGTGGAATATGGTATCTTACAGTGCTTTACTGCTAAGCAGGAGTAAGGCGCGAAGCAGGCTTTGCAGCTAGCAGTTTGTAAAGCGTGAAATTACGTTCGGGAAGAACTTGTAGTTCTGCGCCCGCCGCAGGAGAGTGCGGCAAGAGTTGTCGTGTGTCGGCGGTGTACAGTAGTCGAAGCGGGGTGCGCAGGGAGTTGGTGGAAGATGCCAAGGACAGGAGCGGGTTACGACCATAAATGTGCGGCGGGTCGCCGTGTTGGCCGGGAGCGCGCACCCTCTACTTGCGGCCCGGTGAATGATCCGACTGTGAATGTGCAATGGCGAAGGCAGAGAAACCCAGCTGGGCAGGTCGGGCATGGCACTCCCAGAGGGTGCCTGACGCCAGCCAATGACGGCTAACCTGGAACTTTCAAGAACCCCCCACATATTCCACCGCAGGTAATATACATGCGTAAACAAGCTATAGATGTCACTCTAAGATTCTAGAGTTTGTAAGGAGCAGAGCTCTGTGCGAGAGTAAAAACTTCTTGACTCTTTCCACTTGCTAAAAGCATTGAAATACGCCGGGGTTAGTATATATACAATCAATGCCATGATTCAAAGATAATAAGGCAGAAATTTCTAATTCAGTGAAATTTATCATCTCTTTCGCAGTGCCCAGGTCATCTTGCAGTCATTTATATACTTGACTATTACTATTTTTTAGTACTAACGCTTGTAAAAGGCGCGTTCGCTGGGAAATATTCTCTATTAAATGATTGGTCCTGAAATATCCAGCAAGTCACTTGGCTTGTAATAGAATATAAAACTTTTCCATCAGCCGATAATGTTGAAGTACTGGCATGATACACGTGGGGAGTATACTGGTTTGTGGAGCCTTGGGCGAAGGGGTTTAGTGCATATGACGCACGCTTGTTTACTGGCGCAAAATTCATTTGACAATAAAGTAGCAAGAAGAAGTCTATGGCATATAAATCAGACTGTCTTGATTTACATGTGCCTTTTTCTGGATAGACATTTATTATGCAGCTATCGCAATGCCGAAGTGTTTATGCACGGAATTTCTTTAGAACTGAACTCTCATTGGTCTAAGCTTGCAACAATCCTGGAGAATTACTCTCCGCCTAATCCTGACCTTTTAATCGTCTCTAAGAAAAGCAGTCGTGGTGGTATATCTATATCTCGTTGAACAAGCCCTTTTTCGAATCGCCCAAGACGAAATCACAAAATGCCGAAAAGCCCAAGCCTCCCAATTAGACATTACCCAAGCCGAAAAAAAAAATCTCAAGCACGTATCATCCTTACCAAAAAACCACATCAATGCAGCACCAGGCCTACTTCTGCTGGCCATCGCCCTGGTCGCCTCCGTAATTCTTCTTCACCACCAGCGGCAGCGGCATGGTGACGATCCTGGACCTCCTCTTCGACTTCCTCGGCGTAGGCGGCTTGCCGAACTCGAGGCCCTGGGCGCCGTCCGAGACCCTGCGCTGGCCGCGGCCCTCGTACAGGATCTCCTGCTCCTTCATGACTTGCTTCTTGTGGTGGTGCATATTCATCTCCGGCTCGCCCATGAGCTTCGACGGCACCACGAAGCGGCCGGTCATCGGCTCGAACATGTGGTATATCGGAGACCTCCTGTTTTTGGCGCTTGCGAAAGGGCTGGATGATGACGAGGACAGAAGCTCCTGCAGCGAGGCGGGGTCCTGGACTTCGTGCACGAACTTGTAGGTGCGAAGGATGGGAGGCGTCGTGTTCGCGGCGATGGCGTCCAGCTCCTCGCGGAAAAGGTCGGACTGGTTGATGCGCTGCAGCGGTGGCGTCGGGGGCGGTCTGGGAGACGACGACGCGGTGGTGGTGGTGGTGGTGGTGGTGGTTTGCGGGATTTCTTCTTCGAAAGCTGAGAAGCGCCTCGTGGAGATGGTGCCCAAGATTGCGGGGCGAGGATCGCGATGCTTGGTCTTGTGGCCGTTCCGGTGAGCGATGGCTTGGTTGTCCTGTCCGACGTCCTCACCGCCAGTATCGTTGTTGTTGCTTCCGGGAGTATAGTAGTTCGTGTTGGACGGCGAAGTCGTCGAGTTCTCGAAACTGCTTTCCTGCCTCGTCGCGGCGTTGAGCAAAACCAAGCTACGGTGCCGATCAGCAGCCTTATGTGCCTGCCCATCCTCCTCCCCACCGTCATCTGACGCGTTCGAGACCGTCTCAGCATCTGACGTCGCATCAAAGGGGTTCGCCGCCGCGGATTGGCTCGTGGCGCCTTCTAGCGCATGATCCGGCGCTGTAGTCGCAAACGCGGTCTCAGCCTTAATATCAGCGCCGCGCTTAGCCCGCTTGGGCGCTGGTGTGCGGAGCGCTGCGTCAATACCAACGACATCCTGGTCCGCCGCCGGGCCAGGTCCTCCTCCAGTCTCGACGTCGGCGGTGCTGCGGGCGCGCTTGAACGCTGAACTACTACCAATAGCGCCGCTACCGTCAGCCTCATCCTTTTCCTCCACCTTCTCTTTCTCCTGCTTCTGCTGCGCTGCCAGCCTCGCTGCCATCTTCGCCGCGCGCAGCTCCTTCCTCCTCATCCGCCACGGCGACTCTTCAGGCGGGCTCGGCGCCTCGCTGCGCTCGGAGCGGCGGCGAAGAGCGCGTTCGTTGCGCTCGCGGTTGCCCTTCTCCTTCTTGCTGTCTTGGCTGTTGCGTCCCGCGAGACCCGCCTCGGCGCTGTTCGACGGATCGGGAGTGGAGTGAGACGGCGGGCGGCTGGGGTCGGCGACCACGCGCAGCGTCGAGAAGCGGTGGCCGCGGGCGGGCGTGGCGTCGTAGGGCAGGGGGAGGTTGACGCGGACGGTTGGCGAGTTGGCGTATGGGCTCTGAGACTGCTGATGCTGCTGCGGCGTCTCCTCCTGATGTTGCGGCGGAGCGGATGAGTCTGAGGAAGAGGACGGCGTGCGAGCGCGTCGCTTGGGTGCGCGGGCCATAGTTCAGGCAGAGCGGGCGCGCGCAGAGTCTCTGGTGTTGTTGCTGTTGTGCTGCGCCTGAAGGGGATGGGACGCGTTGTTGTTGGGCCTGTGGGCTGCGCTGATGGAACGGGTAGGAGAGAGATCTTCTCGCGGGCAGCCTGGGAGCGCAGTGCAATATGCGCGGGAAAATCTGCAGAGGCCTCAACGCGTAGACGCGTCTCCTTCTGCGTGACTACCAGTCGGCTTGCAGGGCTCTAGGCAGAGCCGCAGCTCAGAGCAAGCCAGCCTGCTTGGAAGCTGGCTGGAGCACTCCTCCATCGAAGACGTTGGAAAGCACTGAAAAGACGAGAAACCACGTAGAACAGCTCAGCGGCGATGATCACTGAAGGCCCCTCTCAAGCACGACCCCATCTGCTCATCACTTCCACAGAAGTCTGTCAATAATAGCATCACTGGTTTCACAATGAGCACTACGTATTCAGAGCAGTGATTTCAGCAATTGAGTCTACCTCGCTGTCCTTTTGGAAAGCAGGCGTAAGAAAGTCATAGAAGCCATGGCGTGTCTAACAGACCCATGGTCAGACTGTAGCTCACCTTGACCGACATCTCCGACTTTGATTCTATGGAAAGCAGAACCATCTATGGACATCCAGTCCGTCTACCCAATCCTTTCCCGACCCGATATACTGACGAATGAAATAAATTGGAAATAAGAAAGAAAGATCAGAGTCGTCCGCTACTGCAAGCTGTTGAATGGCGAAGCCTGCAAGAGCTGTGCTAACAGTGACTGAATCCTTCAAGACGGCAAGGTCTGCAAGAAAAAATCAGACACGACACTGCGAAGTGTCGAAAACCGATCTGTGGAAGCTGCCACTGACGATGAGGCCGCCAGTTCCGTACCCAAAAGCTATGGCCATCGACGACATGGCTGATCAAGTTGTGAATAAAGAAACGCTGAGCGACGTGGTGTGTATAGTAACCAGAAATATGCGTTGACCTGTCCGGTCGTCTCAGCGTTGAGAAGCGAAGTTGAGTGAATAGTCGAAGAAGAATGAAGTAGAAGGAAATTTTGAGTACAATCCAATTGAGAGCGGCTGGCCGTTCATAGAGTCAGCTGCAGTAGGTTGCCAGAGCAAACCAGTAAAGACGATCTGCTGGAGTGGCAGAGAAAAGCAAGCTGAAGGAAAACTGGTACCGATGAGACAAGAAGCGGCTACCGATTGTCCGGAGTTCGTTGGAATAAAACAAAGAAAAAATTTGCAAAGGCCTGGAAGGTTCGGGACACTTTGTCATCGGGATTGCTATCGGCGGCGCGGCGCTGGCTTGAAGCGAAGTCCTCAAAGGAGCCAGCTCGACATCTTGGCGTAGTTCTGGTCCTCCTCATCCTTGTAAGGCAGGCTGCGCTGATCCAGCTGCTGAGGAAGCGGCGTCTTCGGCTCATCATCAGCCTCGCTCTCATCCTCCTCCTTCACATCGTTGTCGAAGACCTCACTGGACTCGTCAATGTCCGAGTCGGGAACCTCTTCCATAAGAATATCCTCATCGGATTCACCAAGCAGGATGTCCGCATCGGTTTCACCAAACTTGGAGTAGAGGCCCTCCGCCTCCCACTGGGTGCGCAGCTCGTCAGCACGGCGGCGCAGTTTGTGGTTGTCGATGGCACAGGAGACAGCGTGCTCGCTGCGCTCGCTACCAAAGCGCTTGGTGACATCGCGGGCCAGCTCGGCGCGGTAGGTGGTAGGGTCGCGGGCGAGGCGCTCGACGAGGTAGTCGAGGGCGTCCTTGGTCCACTTCTTGCGGGCCTCGCGCGAGGTGACGCCCAGCTTGCGCTGGCGGAACTGGGCGCGCCAGCGGTTGAGGTGCGAGATAGCTATCGGGTCGTTCCAGTCGGCGGGCGGCGCGTGGATGTTCATGCGGCGGCGGATGGTTCCGTCGGCGCGGACCTCGTTCTCGATCAGGCAGAGGAAGCGCGCCTGGTCCTGGATGCGCGTCGTGAGGCACTGCGCGCTCGGGGCGCGGTGGCAGATGCGGCCCCGCACGAAGGGCACGTTGTAGCTGACGAGGCCGGTGACGGGGAAGTGGGCGCATTGGGGGACGCTGCGTTCGGCGGAGAGGTTGGCGCCGCGCTTGCCGTTCAGGTAGTCCTCCTTAGACACGGTGATGGGCTGGCAGATGGGCTTGCCGTTCACTTCGAAAGTGTGGAACGGGGTGGACAACATGGTGACGTTCTCCGCAACGTAAGCACCTGGAGGTGAGGTGTGTCAGTTGTCGGGAGACTTATTTGTTGAGTGGAGAGGAGAGTTACCGAGCTTCTCATCGAAGGTGAACTTGGGACCATTGTAGTGGTACTTCTTTGCACTACGCAGAGGCACGCGCTTGCCGCCGACGAGCTCGCCGCAGATACACTTGGTGCGCGGACCCATGGGACCTGGGTAGACCGTCTCCTCACAAGGCTTGGAGATGGGACGAGCGGGGCAGTCCAGCTTCTTGTCCCAGTAGACATTTCCCTTGATGGGCAGGTCATGCTTGCCGACATCCATCTCTTCACTCGCCTCGCTCTCGACATCATCGTCTTTGCCATCACTGGTGACGCTCTCAGGGACGGGGCTCTCACGGTTCGTGTTGCAGTACTCAGCATCAGGAGGTGAGCTGAGATTGGAAGACGAGGTGGTCGTGATGTAGTCAGTCTGGAATACAGCGTGACTCTGAGAGTAGCCAGGTCCGGTGAGCGAGCTGTTCAAAGAGGTCATGCGCTGCGGGAAGTAAGGCGATGAAGTAGGAGGAGTGAGCATATCGCGGCGCGCACGCCTGGCATGCTCTTGAGCCGCAGTAGAAGGCGTCTGAGCCGGCGAATGGCTTTTGTGACGGGTCATGTTTGCTGACGCCTCACGGGGAATGCGACGATGGGTGACTTTGCTTGGTTGACGCGGATACTTGCGCGTGCGGCGCCTATGTGCAAGGAAAGGAGCTGTTAGTCAAAGCCGGCCAGCGGGATGAAAGAAGCTCATACGCTGGATATCCGTTCTGGAAGAAGCCGGGGAGAAAACGCGCGGGTGGAGCGGTTGCAATCGTAGTCGGCGAACACAAAGTTTGTCAGGTGTAGAAGAGAGGAGAAAGGCCGGCATGAGGCTGCGAGAGTTTTGTTGGTGCGCCGTCCTGAGAAGCCGCTTAAGGAGGCCAAGCGTCTTATGATTGGTCCGTGTCAGCGAGCGTGTGAAAGCTGAGCGCGGGTGTGGCTCGCCGATGGGTGGTAGCTGGTGCTGCTTCGCCGCGGTGCTGAGAGCGACAAGAGCGCTCGCTCGCGGTCGCACCACGCATCATCGCCGTCAACTTTTAAAGCCTGCGCGCCAGACCAGCACACTCGTAGGCCATTGCCAACTCATGAGTCTGAAGGGGCGGAAAGCGTGGCCTACGCCGTGGAATTGGCGCGACAGTCTCGCGGCGGCGCGCTCAGCGATGACATCACTTTGCTGTGAGCGCCGCCACGCCAATCGCCCGCACGCACTGAGAGGGCCGTGCTGTTTGGGGCTCCCCTTGGTAGGCCACAAAGCCTGACCGAGCACCCAAGAGTCGGGTGTGAGGTTCTCTCAGCGACTCGCCTGGTGAGATCAGGCGCTGCTTTCCTCGTTTTCCTTCGTGCATGATCAGAGGTAGGGCGCGGAAGATCGCTTGTGGCCGCCTTTATGTATACTAAGAACAAAAGACATCTATGATCGACGTCAGAGATGAGCGGCGGAGTCTGGACGTTCACGACAGAAATCCTTCGATGCAGCGCTCGTAGCAAACAGCGACCGGACGCCTACGGCACTTTGGAAAACAAACTGAAAATTTAACAAAGATGTGTGGCGTCTATGCTTCACATAATGGACGCAAAGGCAAATACAAGAGAATGCTCACACAACTCACGCTGTTAATTCTCGCCGTCTTCTGCCAGTTCATTGAGATTTCTGCTCGAAGGTATATCAAATCTGCCAGAGTAGACGGGCACGGTCAAGACTTCTGCGCAGCCTACTCCCCCCAATGTCCGTTTCTCGTTCTTTTCTCAACCCTTTAGTCTAAAACTATGAAGTATGACCACGGAGGCCTTTCCCCTGTCATGAACCACAGCAGAGGGATGAGCAAGTAGTCTCCGCATAGTGCTTATTCGCAGCGCGACCCTTACTGTCCAGCATCAGTAGCGCTGTCCGCAACTTCAATCTCCTCATCATCGTCATTATCCTCCAGATCCGCCTCGCCATTGTCTGCCTCTTCGACAGCCTGCTCCTTCTCCCCTTCCTCGCCATACACAATCTCCCTCGCCCGCCTGGCCAGACCGTACCGCGCCAGCGTCATCGCCAGCGCGTGGCGCGTCCTCTTCTTCTCCGGCCAGCGCTCCTCGAGCACCTCCAACAGCTTCGCGATCTTGTACTTGCCCGTCTCGCGCAGCTGCAGCACCATGCTCTCCTTCACCGCCTCGAGCTCCTCGATCGACCACGGATACTTCTTGATGCCAGTGCCGGTGCTGTGGGCCTCGATAACTCTAGAAGGTTTCTCCTGTCCCTGCTGTTGGTGGTGGTGTTCTTGCTGCGGCTGCTTCGCCGCCATCTCGGCGGCGCGGCGGCGCTCGCGGAAATTGGTGATCCAGCGGTTGAGCTTGGCGATCGAGGCCGGGCAGTCCCACTGGCGCGGCGGCGCGTGGATGTTCATCTTGCGGCAGGCTGGGTTCTTGTAGTCTTCTTCAATTAGGCGCAGCATGTAGGCTTGGTCGACGTACTGGACGTAAGAGGAATCGGCTGCGGCGGCGGAGGCCGCGACAGTCTCGTCGGCTGCGCTGCGGTTTTGCTCGGGGCCTGTGTTGGAGGGCATGGTGTCAGCGTCGAGAGCGGTGTGCGGAGGTGACGAGGGGCTGAAAGGCTCGCCGTCGACATTGTCATCGTCGCTGCTGTCAGAGTCAGAGGGTGAGGAGGAGGCCGCCTCATCGACCGTGTTCTTGTAGTACAGGCGCTGCTTGATGTAGCGTGAGCCGGCGATGAAGTTCCAGTCTTCGTCGAGAATGCCGGTGACGGGGAAGTGTAGGTCGCACTGCGGGACCGTGACCTCGGAGCTCAGCATGGTAGGGCTGACGTCATTATTAGCGGTTGCAGTCGAGCCTCCAGCGTCACGGTGGCTGTCGTGGATGGCGGCGTGCTTGCGCTTCTTCGCCTTCTCGGCGTTCACGCGGGTGGTATCTTGGTCGAAAGGCTGGATTGTACGCCGTGAATTTTTGGCGGCTGGATCCATCCAGTAGCCTGCGTAGGGAGTCGAGCGTCAGTGAGATAGGTTTGGTCAACTGGATGTGGTGAGACTTACCATTCTCATGATTGAAGTAGGGGAGATCATCGTAGAGCCTTGCCAGTTGGATGGACGAGCAGTTGCACTTCTGGTGGTTGGGCGCACAGTCCTCGATCTCGGCCTTGGTCGAGGCCGCTGCGATAAGCCACTCATCGCTATCGACGGGAACGGGCTTGTCGAACTCATCACGCAATCCAGAATTGAGAGTGGTCCAGCCAGGAGCGTCAGGGTTGTCAGGAACCTTTTGTTGGTACCAGACTTCCTCGCGACCGTCCGGGTGGACGTAGCCGCGACCGCCTTCCAGAAGGCGCCCGTAGTTAGGCGGCTCGTCTTCATCGGCATTGTCCTCCCAGTCGCTGTTCTCGTCTTCAATGATCGGCACTCCTCCATCGGATTCCTCTTCAAGGGAGAGAGTCTCTTCTTCCGAGCTGTCCTCATCCTCATCCGAGCTGTCCGTGTCCGAATCCTCGCTGCCGAGAGCGATCGAGTCCTCCACGTCACTGCTGTTGTGCGCCGCCGGCAGGGCGGCTTCATCGGAGGGACCAGTGGCTGACATTATGGTGCGCCGTCGTCGCGTAAATGTCCGCCGCGTGCGGGAAAGCGAGCGGGCGCGGCGCGGGTGTGGGCGTTATCGTTGTTGTGTTGTGGTCGAGACTGCCGGGTTGGAAGATATTTGCAATTGAGTTTTGGGTATGAGCGCGCTTTTGCCCTGGCGCAAAATAATGGACGGCGAGTCCTCGGGCTTGCCCAATTTCTTTGCTACAGCTTTGTGCCATTTGCTGGCAATGCTCAGCGAATGGGATGAGTTCTGAGAGTGACCCACCTCATACTACCGCCTTGTGAGACATCAAAACTCTTCTTTGAGGCTTGACCCGTGACATTTCTCTACACTCCAGGAGCTGCAAAACATTCTGGACGAACAGACATAAGGAACGACTATGCCGTTTCTGTGGATGGAGTCTGGTGAGATGATGACTGGGCTGCAATCCGCAAGCTAGCACTCACAACAAGCACGTTCATTAAAGGTTATTCCCAAGTACGCTTTCTGATATGGGCGAGAGGCTCATAGTCACAAAAACTGGTGTCTATTCTTCTACGATTGCCAGCTAGCCAGCTACACGCTCGTCATGGGAAAGGAGAGCAACCAGCAGTAGCAAAATTTTGCACGTAACAAGCCCACCTCTTCTGTGCCAGCCGTGCGCTCTACGTCTGCTTTTCTTAGCAATCTACAACAACTTCATGTGTTGTTTCGATGACGACGAGCAGGTAGGGGCCGATTCGAAGCGCCACCAGCATCTTCACAAGTAGAGATCTGCAGGTAGCCGCACAGTACGGTCGCTGTGAAACACTGGAAATTCAGCACACACCTTGAATCATTTGGCAGCTGAACAAATATCTCGTACATCTTCGCCACACGTCAGGCCCTTAGACAACGCTGCACCACTCCTGCATCTCAATTACCTTACTCTTAGATAAGCAGTCGGCCATTGCTTGGACAGAACACATACATATGCTCATGGGCAGGTGCTCTTCTTCTGCCCAGACCTTAGCCACGCCAAGAACACTTCGATCCACCGCGCGATCCACAACCAATGAGTTGACGTTTCTCCAGGAATGCGGGGAGTGTCGATCGCGTGGCGAGAGTGGGCCCAGCCAGCCGGCTGACAGGGATTGGTGCTCGCTTCAGCGGACGCGATGCCAGAGAGAGCAGGAAAAGACGGCTGTTCTCCGGAAAATTCCCAGACGTCAGCCAGTGCCTGAACAGGGTCGCAGGTCTGTTGCACGACATTGCAGTTGTGATCCAGTGCCAAAACAAGGCAATTTCAGCTCTGGTCATTTCCCTGGTCGTTCAGTGCATATACCCTGCCCCTACTGTGTAAACGCGGCTCGATGCGATGCTTGCGCGAGGTCATTCGCTGGACAGCTGTTGCTCGAGAGCTTTCATGTCGCAGCTGACCGACCGCTGTCCAATGGTGGGGAGACTGCATTCATCATTGTCGTTGCAAAGCCAAGCCGTCAGCTATGGCTATTGTGCCTCTCCTCTGCTTACTAACAGCGGCTGCGTTTCGCGTACACTCTTCGAAGACCGTCTGCACCTCATATTCTGTTGAATCAAGACAAGTCGATGATCTCTACAGTTCAGTTTCTACTAAAGAACATTTTCCTACTGACGAAGTTTCTTGTCGGAGCGTAGTCTCGATAGACGCTGAAACAGACTAGAATTTATCTTCGTAGACCTGGCTAGACGAATATAAGCAATATGCACAGCGCTGATTAGTCATTACATGTCAGAATTAATACTTAGCTGTGTGCACGAAGTCAAATATGATATATTAAGGAAACAAAGGAACTGGAGGGACCATTCTGTGTAGTACACAGGGAATTGATTGCTATAACTACCCAGAAAATCAATACCAATTTCTCCACAGCCCGCTAACACCTTGTGGGGCTACGTGCCTTCTGGATGAGCCCATTACTCCTGGGTGGGGTAGCCGAGGCGGGCGATCCAGTAGCCCCAGACGCGGTTGAGAACGGCCATGGTGCCCGCGTCGGTCCAATTGTCCTCCTCCATGGTCTCGGCCCACGAATCGTACGGGAAGGGCCGCGCGCTGTTGGCCCAGCGGCACCAGAACTGCGTACGCGCCAGGCGCTGGTGCTGGTCGAAGCAGCTGAAGCTGCTGTCGCCGTCGCGGTCGTAGTTGTAGCTTGCGTTGGGGTCGCCCATGCGGAAGTAGCGGCTCCGGCGACGAAAGGGGTGGTGTAGAAGGGCGTGGGGACGCTGTAGCGGGCGTTGGGGGCCGCGAGGCTGGTGATGTGCTCGTATGTGGCCTGCATGCGCGCGTCGTCGAGCATGACGAGGAAGCATGCGACGGTGGGCATGGTGGGCGGGGTGGTGGCGTTGACTATCATGTAGGGGGGTTCGCCGGCCGGGGCTCGAAGGACGGCGCAGAGGAGCATGTCGATGGCCGTGGCCGTGGCTTGAAAGGTGTCCGAGCTGGTGCAGATGAGGCACGCCGTGATCTGCCTGTTGATCATAGGGCCGTAGCGATATGCGGAGGCCATGGCGCCGTAGAGCTCGCGGGCATATTGTTGGTCATGTCCGCTCAGATGGTAGTTGGCCAGCACGAAAGCCCTGGTCATCATTCTCATGACTTTGTTGTCGATCTCGCCTTGCGTAAGCCTGGAGGCCATGGTTGTGGCTACGCTCGGACTGCTTGTGGTGCCTGGTTTGATGGAGGGGTGTTTCTGATTGGTTTGGCGCAGCCTTATCCTGGGAAATGCTGGTTTGCGACGACAGTGTAGAAGAGGAGTTAGTTTAGAGAGGTACATGGATATATACGTCAGAGTGGCTGTGGCTGTGCTACGGGCCGTATTGTCATTCATCATTTCTATAATTTTTTCACCCGGCCGCCACAATCTTTAGATCTTATATACATCAGGTAGGCAACCTTGGTTGAAGACAAACTGTATATACTAGAGCATCACGCATTGATTCCACTCGTGGTAGACTAGCAAATACTAGTATTAGAGTCGTGATCACCAGGAAGGGACCCCACAGCAAATCAACTTAATATTTAATATTAAGCTGTTTGTGCATGGCCGAAAATCTTGAATGCCGCAACTAGATAGTCTTCCAAACAGCTGGAAGTAAACTGCATATTGTAATTGCTCATTCCTCATATGAGGGGCCAGACACAGAGTCTCGACAGGCATTGATTTCAACCCATCCTAAAATGATGCCGCTGATCGTTGGATCTTGAAAGTTGGCGCCAGGCCCTGCCGAAGTTTTCCAAAACCGAAAGCCACTGCTACTATCCCTTGGGGCGTCCGCGCCGCTTTCTATCTAGAGAAGCTGCCTAAAGTGGGGCAGTGACCGGTTTTTCGGGTCTTCCAGCCACACGCCTTTCAGCTGACCGACTTGCCAAGCCAGATGAGCCTGACCTAGCGCCTATATATACCTCTCCCTTCTACGGTTCGAACAGTCTTCTTCCTTCCTTAGCTCTCTTTGCCTTTTGGCTTAGATCAAACCAGCATCATGAGAAGTATCGAACTCATGGTGCAAGGTAAGTTCCCCCATCCAACGTTCAACGTTATGGTTTTAACTTTCAATCTAGAGCCCGAGTTGACTTCTTTTTTCAAACAACTGCGGACTAGTGGCACAGATATTGCACTGCCTTCTGTGTTGCGCCAAACTTTTTTTTTTTTTCGTTGACTGCCTCGCCTTGAGCGGGACTTCAAGGAAGAAATTTTTTAGTTTGAGTCTGAACGAGGTGGTAACATAGTCACGGTGAAGCAGCTTTTGCGCAAGTGAGGTGTATGTTCATGACAGTGACCAACCAGGCAGTACTCGGTGCTGCTTCCGTTGGAAGACAGGCACTTCTGGACAGCACCCCCGTAGCCGTGGAAAATATTTCTAACGAAGTTGGTGAATTCCATGCTATTCGACTCCCTTCGTTGTTTGCTACCTTGTTTGCTATTGCATAGTCATCTGGCACGTAGATATTCTACGCTGCCCAGCAGATAGCTTATGGATCATTCTGCGCACAACCGTCAATTTCTAACACATACTTTTATTCTGCTGTCAGTGAAGACTCTTGGGAACAATCTATGCTGCTGCTTTCTTTCATGCGGTTGAAGCGAAGGTTGCAAGGACTTCACGGATTATTGCACGATGCGCCAGGAAGAGTGTGTATTGCTATCCGAAAGTCTCTACCTGTAGCTTTTCTCACAATGCCTTCTGTTCATCATAACCCTTTTCATCATTTGCTCTTTTTGGACATGACACCTGAAAGTACCGATCGCCTCACCGCGTAGTACTGATCGTCGCGACCTTTATGATCCCACAGTGTGTTACGTCTGAATGCTCCACGAGTTGCTCACTCACTTTCCTCGCACTTCTCCTGCTTCACATACTCAGCAGTCTGCTTGGCCTTCAGGTCCTTGAGCTTGTGAGCGATGGCGTGCATCGTCCTCTTCTTGGCCTTGACGCCATCGATGGTCTTGCCACGGAAGTGATCGTTGAACATCTTCGCCGCGTCTCCGGGGCTGATGCCGTCGTGCTCGTGGTAGATCTTTTCAATGTACTTCAGCTCCTGGCGGGTCCAGAACTTGACATGGCGCGTCTTCGAGTGGGTGCTCTCGTGGCCGCTCTCGTGGCGCATGGCGTCGCGTCCAATCGTGATGTTGTTGTTGCTGTACGTCTTGTTGTCGAGGGTGTCGCCATCTTCAGTCTTGATGTTGATGCCCTCGGCACGTTCAGTCTTGACATTGACGATGTCGTCCAGTTTGTTCGCGATGTGGGAGATGTAGGCCACTCCGTTCTTGATGCGGTTGGCCCATTCGTTCCTGATGTCGCTGGGCAGTTCGTTATTGATGACAAGCCTGTGGGTGCGTTCGTTCTGGATGTCCTCGCGCTTCTCGCCCTGACCGTTGCGGAGACATGCGGTCCAGTTGTCCCAGAGGAAGTTCAGCGCGTGCTGCTCATGGTGGATGGTATCAGGTAGCATATCGACTCAATGTCGTGAATAACATATCAAGATGGCGGTAGCTTACCAGAGTTTCGGGGTTGGCGCAGAGCGCCAAGTGCTCGATGTTAGACGCGAGGGTGCGCTCGACGTGCCTGCGTGCGGCGACGTCAGGCTCACAGTCTTGAGGAACGTCCGGCATCATGGTCGGGATGAGCACGAAGTCGCACAGCCCAACAATGTCTTGGGTGAGCCGCCAGAGCATCACAGGCGAGGCCATGCCCTGCAGCTGGTTCTCATCGCTGTCGATGATGTCGTCCATAACACGGTTGGTGCTGTAGTAGAGCCAGTCCAGACAGAGCTGGACTTCAAGGCGGTAGCACAACATGGCTGCAGGCGATCCTTCAGATGCGGGTGACGCTGACATGCAGCCCGAAGGGGAGGTTGGAGGTGTCGAGGTGTCAGTCGGGACCGTGGACATCGCCAGGAGTTAAAACAGCTGATGTCCGTGCACCCGCCCCTCCGTCACTTGCGCCCACGGACATGACACGCACCCAGAAGGACGGCGAAACTTCTTCGGTCTGACTCACCTTCCGGTATTGTAAGTGGGCTTAGGCAATGGCTCTGCGAAAGTCTATCCCGGCGAAGGCTGTCTTGCAGTCACTGAGCAATTTGCGCGCGCACACATGGCACACATACACTATCTTACGGCGGAGGATAAAGCAGGCTCGGAAGCAGTCTTAAAACCAAGTATCCTTCGTTATCAGCCATAACTAAAGCTGCAATTTCACACCGTTCGGGCGCGGCAAGACGCTGTTACTGTGCGATATCTCCAGAGGGAGATTTCCTACAGGTTTCCGACGCCAACTTTGGCATTAGGACGCCACTCCTTGACTGAAGGAAGGAAGCGATGTCAGCTCACAATACTTGGCATTGTTTCAAAGCCGAGCTCATATCTTTGTTCACCGCAGAAGACGAAGTGACTTGCTCGTCCGCGCTCGCTCTCTGTGCGAATGAGAGAGATGGCAAACAATCCAGCAATCTGCGAGTGACAGCGCCAAACAGCATTTTTCACCAACAATGACTCCAAAATTGCAAGTGATGCTTTCCTTGATCGTCTATCTTGCTTGGTGACTGATGGCGACGCAAGTGATCTTCTGGTACGTTGTCCGAGAACAAAGCTTTGTTCATCCGGATCCACTGGCAAATTCTGAAGTCTCTGAGCGACCAGGTGATATGGGTACAGCCCTGCTGTCCCTCTCTTTCCCGCTCGCAGCGTGGGTGAGCTACTAGCTTTTAGTTGCACAGTGCATCACGCGCGGCATAGAGCCCGCGAGCGGGGCCATACGTCACCGCATGACCTACGTGAACGTTACCAGTGATTGTTACCCGGGCCCTTCGCCCACCCGCCGCCGGCAGGTGACGCCCGGGCCGATCTTCTCCACCTGGGGCCTACTTAAGCAGCCCATCCTGCGAACCAAGACCTTTTCCTTTTCTCTCCAGCTCTCTTTGCCATTTGGCTCGGGCCAAGTAGGGGCCCTTCTTGGCGTAATTGCCAGGACGGTGCTGCGGCACCATGATAATTACTCCACTTTTTGGAACTTGGGCCGGGAGGCGCTGGGGACTTCCCATCTTTCCGGCCCACAGTGTCGCTCGTATTGCACTAACTCGAGTTGACGCGACCTTTGAACCTTTTCGTTGAGATTGCTCGCCTTGAGCGGGCACTTGAGGAAGAGGGAGCTGACGGGGCGAATGGAGGCTCACTTGCGATTGGACTCTGAGAAGAGCGATTTGCTGTAGCGGGCATTTTACGCCAGCGGGTGCATCCAGAAGGTCTCTTTCACGCTGCTTTTGGAGATCCTGGTGTGCGCTCACGATACTTTGTCGCGTCTGCGCTGCTCGTTCGTTGCGCATCTGAGACTCGCCGTCCTCACGCTCTCCGCTACCGTGCGCCGCGGCAGCCTGTCCACGAATCCGAAAACGCGGGATGCGCCTCTTCTTGCTTCTTTATCGCTGATTGCGTCCGCGAAATGCTTCAGTGTAGCCGCTTCTTGCAGCGAAGTTCAATTGAGCTCGAAGGAGCTCCAGTACTGTCCGCACGTCACTCTGCAAGTGACCCACGAGCCCGCCATGGTCTTTTGCCGGGATTACCACCCGTGCATTGCTGCACCGCGCTCGCGAAAGGACACGGGAACGTGTGGGTACGACGCTGGCTTGCAGTCTCACCTGGAGATCTGCATGGGCGGCCGCCGATATTACCAACGTGCGACCTACCTCATGATCCAGACGTGACGGAGATTCAGAGAATCGTCGCAAGCTTGTGAGTGACACACGTCGTCCGTTTGTCAGCGCGCGCGATTGGAGCTGACTTCAGCTACGTGAAAGACGCAACGTCGCCGAGCAGCGTCGGGATCGTAAGCGAGTTGGTGGCGACGGCTTGGAGCTCCAGCGTCCAGTTTTGGCATCAAGCTCGCGCTTGAGCAGAGGTGGCTCTTCGCTCTGAGCACTTGGGAAGTCAGCGGCCACGAATTCCCTCAGCCCGGCGCCAATGCTAAACTGAGCAAAGAATCCGGTATACCTATTTGCGATACTATGTCTACGTAGCTACGGAAGCGCCCAAAAGTCTTCTTCATGCACCAGTAAGCCGTGAAAGGTGCAAGGTTCCTTCGTTCCTGCTCGTTCTCAAGTATCCCTCTGGCCATGGGTCACGAAGTCTTAGGTTATTGAGCTGGCAAACGGCGGCGAGTAGTAGCACGCATGACAGCGATCCTTGCAAGGAATCTCTTCATGGATATGTAGCTTTCCAGGTGGCGCGCGGGTGGCAGATGGGCTGCTGTGTGGTGCTCGACCGTTGCGACATGGTGGTGATTTTCGCGTCCAATGTTCCTGGAGCAAGACTAACAGGCGGTTCAAGGTTACAAGCTCACTGGGAGATGTCAGCCCGAAGTTCTCTAGCATGCGTGGCTCCTCAGTCGGCTTCGAGAGTGGCGTGTGGGGTTGTACAGAGAATTGCAGCACCTGATCAAAGCCAGCGTGCCGTGCCGCGTCGTGGGAGGGTTGGAGGGAGAGGATTTGCTGCAATGTATGCAGCTTTTGTAGCATGCGTAGCTGAGAGGTCATCAGTATCTGGTCCCGAAGTCGTGCCATTTGCAGTAAGATTCTGGTGAGGACATGCGGACTCTTCTCTCTAAGTGCGTCCCGACAGGGAAATGAAGGCGCACCTGTGAGTGAGGTAGGGCAGTGAGTGGCAGCCTGCACGCTAAGCTTTGGCGGCACTGCGGGTGGTGAGCTACGCCCCGAGGAAGAAGCTGGCTTCTACTTAAGCTCGCCCGCCTTCAGATCTTCTTACCCCAACCACCACAACCTCACGACACGACACGGCACGAAGAGGTACGCCACCTCTCCAACCGCATGGATAGCATGCACTGACAAGACAAACAGGCTCCTCGGAAGCTTCTACGGCCCATAACGCGCAGATAGCGTCACGCACTCGTCAGGAACCTCACGCCCTTCGCCCAGCGCCTCGTCTGTGAACATGGCTCCTCATGTCGCTGAGCTCCTCTTTGGCGTAGACGACATTGTCTTCTACATGGTCCTCGAAGCCTTCGCCTGGAGCACCCTCCTCGGCTTCGCCGTCTTCCTTGGCCACGTCTACCAGTCCCAGGGCCTCGCTGTCCACGCCATCTCCTTCTTCATCTTCTTCGAGTACTTCTGGGTCACTCGCTTCGGCTTCGGCTTAGAATGGTGCCACTATGACATGATCGAGTGCATGCAACAGATGGCCCGGCTTCTCCTCGATGTGCTCCTGTTCCTCAAGTATCGCCGCATCGCCATGGACATGCGCAAGGAGCAGCAGAACCTCCCGCCGCAGAACCACCCGCTGCCTCCCATGCTAAGCCGCCGCGAACGCCGCCAGCAGCAGCGCGAGCAGCAGCGCGAGCACCGTCGTGAGCACCGTCGTGAGCTGCAGCGCGAGCTGCGTCGCTGCCAGGGAAACCCTTCGCCTCGCATCCATGACGACGACAGGATCTCGATCAGCTCCACGGGCGACAACTCCAACGACTCTGCTACGAACGGAATGCGCCAGATTCGTGGTAATGACAAGACGTCCGCTGCGGTGCGCGGTAGGATCATTCGGAGCCGTCATGTACACAAGAAGCACTATGTGGCCACCGACACCGAGGCGGCGGGCCTTGGTATCAAGCCTTAAGGCCAGGACACAAGCTGTCAGATGTGGATGCTCTCAAGCGGCTTAAAGATTGATGGTCGCGTCTGGACAACAACCAACATGAATGGTAGGAGCGGGTAGCTCTCTCTATGTCTACACTTGGGTCGTCAGGGTTTGGCCCGACAAGATGAATTGCAATACAAGGAACGAGGACTTCTCAGTCTCTCAGTTCTACTTTCCTTATGCTTTGGCTCCCTTGGTGATACTGTCCCGCAATGCATTGCCTGTTTCTGCCGCCGTGCCTCTCTGCCTCGGCATTCTGCTGATCAGCCCAGTGAAGCATAAGGCGAAAGACTGCCTGTTGTAGAGTCCGACACTGGCTACCTCGATGCACTTGTGTCACCGCCGTGATGACCATCCCCTCCCTCTCGTCTTGTCGCCGTTGTTGAGCACTGGTAAGTCTCTTCGCCACTCCCCTACACCCTTGTGCTGCAGCGCGGCTGAAGAAGGACGTTGAAGTCGAGAATATGCACGCTAAAAGGATCTGGCCGCTACGCACGAGCGCAGAGCTGTGCCAGGATGCTACCGCTGCCGTCGCTGCCGCTGCTCCACTGCTAATGCGGGTGATGGACATTGTGGGGCCAGCAGTATAAGACGAAGAGGACGCCGGCAAAGCGTTTATGGACTAGCGCCTGCCGAATTCGGCAACAAGCCCAGAGTGGAGCCAATAAGGGGGAGGCGGCGCAGCAAAGCAGCAGCAGAGGCTGACAGACGACGACGATGATGTCGACAGTGGCTGATGATAGGGAGACTTGGACCATGCGCTCATCGGGGTGAGCTATTCTAAGCCACGGCGCTGATGGGCTAACGGCGCGGGCGTGTGGGGTACCGCGTCCATGCGTTTGAGGAGGAGGACCATGGGGAGTATAGGCTCGCTGGGGATTATTAGCTTGACGGCGAGGACTTCTTGCAGGCCTGTTCGTTCTATTAGCGCGTCTCAGGATAGAAGTTGAATTGTTTGTTCATGCGTATGAGGCAAGGCTCTACATCGGCAGTCGATGTCGAGATTGTGTGGTACGACTTGAGACGACAGAGGTGGTACCGACTCGGTTCCTGGCGAATTTTCGGCACCAAAGACAGAGATGGAGATCTGCCGCTCTAAGGATCACTTGACGCGATATACTTTGATGTGCGATGATGGTGAAAATCCGTGCTGGAGAGCAGAGAGGATCGCAGAAACGGCGCACCAGCCATCACGGTCGCGATCTCCTGACTCGACGCGACTCGACAGTTGGAAACAACCACCGGGTGTCTCCTGTCAGCCTTATCCATCGTCGTTGTTGCTGTACAGGCCGGTGCGTGCGGCAATGCCACGTCAGGCCCGCTCTCCACCCGTCGCGCGCACCCCACATCGAAGTGGCATCAGCGTTCAACGTTGAGCAGCTCAAGGAGGTCTAGCCCGGAGGAGGATTACGTAGCAGGCCCGCCAAGCAGCCGTGCTTCTAGAAGACAGGTCGACGCGGGCTGGGAGATCTGGCGCGTCGTGGCTTTGGGAAGTGGGATGATGAACGCTCGGGTGGAGACAGGCCGAGTGACAGCAAGGATCGGCGAACGGGAAGCACGATACGATCTGCGTTCTAACGCCCGCAATCGAACATTCGCTGCAGAGTTTGCTCACCGCAGGTTGCATGGCATGAGGCGTTTTGGGTTCACGCAGGCACCAGGTGCGATGACGATGGGGGCGGCAATCGATAAAGCGGACTGGCCAGCGGGCGGCGGCCCTGCATGGCACCGGAAATGAGCAGGCCAGGAGGTCGAAATAGAGGACCAGGGGTTCTAGCCTCGCGTGAGGCCTGCCAGCACGTGAGAAACGGCGCCCGGACGTGTCAAGCGCGCGACAGACGCGCTCACCGCTCCGTCACCGTCTGGCAGGCTAGGCAGCGCAGGGCAAAAGCACAACAGAGGCGCCCAAGTGTGCGTCGGCCGGCTCTTGAGCGAAAAGTCATCGCGCTCTGGACCAATCATCGCTGTGGGGGGGCCGCGCGCATGCCTAGCGGCGATCCCTGCTGCCGGCCTACCGCCAGAGCGACTCCTGAACGCCGGGCGTGATAAGCTACTGCGAGCTCCCTGCGAGTTCGTCCACCACTGAAGCAGAGGTCTCCCCGCCGCCCGGCCCTGCCCATTCCACACGCCGGACCTACGCCCCCATTGACTCTCCCGCGCGTGCGCCGCGACCTCCGGAATTCTCGCCTCTGCCCAAACCTGTGCCCCACTACTCAGTCTGAAACAGCGTCCGACGCACTGCTCGAGCTGCGTCGTCTTATGCCTGTCGCGCGCCAAACCGAGGCCGCCTCCCGCCCGCCCGCAAAAGCCCAGAGCGCCTAATTTCCATCCCGATCCCCGTCCTCGACATCATCTTGCCGCTGCAGAACGCCGCACCTCCACCCCGACACCCCTCCCGACTTCTCGCCGTGGTCGCCCGCCGTAGGCCGGCTCACTGAAAGACGTCACCATGGCTCTCGACGAAGCTACCTCGCCGACGGCGGACTCGCCCATCGACTTCCAGAACTCGCGCAAGCACGAAGGCGGGAAGCCCCTGCCCACCGACTCCATGGTCACCGTCCCTCTGTCGCCCACCGAGTCGAGCAACCCCGTCCAGAGCCTGGACGCTATTGCCGACAAGCCAGAGATCACCGTCAACAAGACGCGCGACAGCAGAATAGGGGCCGCTGCCCCGAGCTTGGACGAAGTCATCGTGGAGAAGACCGAAGAGAAGAAGAATGATACCCCGGAGGACAGCGCAGAGAGGCCCAGAAGCAGACCATCCACCATCGTCCGCTCCCGCAGCGGCAGCTCAGGCTCCGCCGATTCGGGCGGCAAGGTCGATTGGGAGGAGCTTGATAAGAAGGAAGAGCAGATTGAGCAGGATGAAGGCTCCGACGAGGTCAGCTCTTCTCTCAACTGCGTCGAGACGCTTCTTTGCTAACCACAGAACAGAGCACCGCACTCCTCCTAGCCAGACTTGAGCAGGAGAACCAGGCCATTGCTACAGACCCCAAGAACGCCGCTTCCAAAGCCCGCTCGCGGAGCCAGTCGCGGCCGCCGTCGATGAACCAGCTGAAGAAGATGGTCGAGGACCAGAACAACTCCGAGAGCGTCCGCTTTTCTCTACTCCCCTCGCCGCCGCCCATGACTGAGCTCGAGTTCTGGGCTGCGCTGGTTCGCGACTATACGGGCACCGCTCAGCGCCTGCCTACCTTGACCTCGAACAAGATCCGCGCCGGTATCCCGGCACCTCTGCGTGGCGTGACCTGGGTCAGCATGGCTGGCGCGCGCGACCGCGGCATCGAGGAGCAGTATGAGCGCCTGTGCACCGAAAGCAGCCCCTACGAAAACATGATCGGCAAGGACATTGGTAGGAGCTTCCCCGGCGTCGAGATGTTCAGGGACCCCGAAGGCGAAGGCCAGAAGATGCTTGGCCGCGTCCTCAAGTGCTTCAGCTTGTACGATGACAAGATTGGCTACTGCCAGGGCTTGGGCTTCCTCGTTGGACCCCTGCTCATGCAGATGGGCGACAAGGAGGCCTTCTGCGTGCTGGTCCGGTAAGCACACCATTTCTTGCGATGTGAAGGCGCAGTTTGCTGACTTCGCGCAGTCTCATGGAAGACTATGACCTCCGTTCCTGCTTCCTGCCCGATCTTTCTGGCCTGCACCTCCGCATTTACCAGTTCCGCCGCCTGATGCAGCAGCTCATCCCCGAGCTCTACGCGCACCTCGAGACGATGAACATTGAGGCGGCCTACCTCTCGCAATGGTTCCTGTCCTTCTTCGCAGTGACTTGCCCTCTTCCGATGCTCTTCCGCATTTACGACGTCATTTTCGCCGAGGGTGCCTCCGAGACTATCATGCGCGTTGCGCTCGCCATTATGCGCAAGAACGAGCAGCGCCTCCTGGCCTTCACCGAGTTTGAGGACGTCATCCAGCTGTTGCTGTCGCGCTCGCTTTGGGACCCCTACGGTTGCAACCAGCAGTCGGCCGATGACCTCGTCAACGACTTCTGCAGCTTCACTAGCGTTGTCACCCGCGAGCACCTCCAGGCTCTCGAGGCCAGCTTCAGGGACGCCTCCAGCGACGAGACGGCGTCCAAGGGCTTCTTCCCCGAAGTCCAGAACGCGGCACAGAGGTTCTTGGGCCGCATCTGGGGCCCCGACAAGAGGAACACTACCGCAACGCTCAGCCCGCCCGCAGACAAGCCGTCTAGGCCAGTCAGCTTCATGAAGCGCACGGCTTCCAAGCAGAGCATCGCGTCGACTCTCAACTCGGTCGATGGCTCTGACAGCACAGGTAGAAGCCACAACAGCACGGCGACGGCCATGACCGAGCTCACTAATCGCGAATCCTCAGCCGACGCCATGTCGGTCAAGTCGATGAAGATAGGAAACGTTAGGAACACGATGATGTCGCACCACGACCGGGATCTCCACAGCCAGATCGAGGACCTCCTGACGGCGCTGAGCGAGATGCAGCGCGAGCACGCTACTCTGGCGGCCGAGCTGCAGAAGGAGCGCGAGGACCGTCGTGAGGACCACCGTGTCGTGCGCAGCCTCGTCGAGCGTGTCAAGCAGGACAAGGGCATCACCACGACGACCAAAGCGCAGCGCCGTCGCACCTCTCCCCTGAACAGCATTGACGACCTCAAGAACAAGCGCATGTCGACGCCGCCTTCGTTGACGTCCAACGAAGACTTCCAGGGCCTTGTCGAGAAGATCGAAATGCGCTTCCCGGCCAAGGCGCAGCACAACCGCAGCGCGTCCGTCTTCGAGACCAAGCAGTACCTCCGCGAATCGCTGGCCCGTTCCAAGGAGCAGCTCCATCTCGAGACGACGCGCTCGCAGTCGCTGTCCCGGCAGCTTCTGGACGCCGAGACCGAGACGGCATCGCTGCGCACACAGTTGGACGAAACGCGGCACCGCCTGCAGGCCTCGATGGTCGACCGCCAGCGTCTCGAGCGGAGCATCCAGGACCTGAAGGCGGAGAACCAGAAAGCGCGCAAGGCATCGACGTGGTCGGGCTCGGAGTCCGACGTGCCCAGCCTCACGCGGTCCGACACGGCCGACTCGATATCGTCATCGACGTCGGGCAAGGGGCTGCGCGAGTTCAAGCTCGGCCGCAGCAACACCACCCGATCCATTTCGACGACCAAGACTCGCAACAGCTTCGGCCGCATTGCGCCCACGCCCAACACTTCGGCCGTGGCGCCCGTCCCGCAGCGCAGCTCGAGCCCCCACACATCGGCCTCGCCCATGTTCGCCAAGCGCAGCTCGTCCCTCTCCGCGCACGCCGCCTTTTCGTCGTCGTCGCCGCCCCCCGATCCCTCAAGCGACGATGCCATCCTGCTCGAGCTCGTCAACGCCAAGACGGCCGAAGCCGTCGCTCGCCAGGAACTCGAGGAGCTGCGCGCTCGCTTCGAGAGCATGCGCAAGATGCTGGGCGTCGCCACCCCGAGCCCCAACAGCTCCACCAGCGGCCTCACGCCCTCCAAGTCGGCGACCAGCGAGAACGGCTTCTTCACGTCGTCGAGTAAGCCGCCGGGCAGCTCGCACAGCACCGCCAGCACCAACAACAACACCGGTGGTGGCTTCTGGGGCTGGGGAAAGAGGAGCGTGAGCACCACGGCCGCCGAGGCCAAGTAAGGGGAGCACTTCGTCATGACACCTTATCATCATAGCGTCCCACGCCACGAAAAGAACTGTACACTACTTGCACACTCTGTACCACGACGATCGACATAATCGGGCTATGTGGCTTGTTTCTAGAAGGAGACCACTCACATATACATACCACGCATCAAGAGTGGTTGACGACGTTTCTGTTTTTCCTTCTTCCATGGCGGCTTCTATTTTTTCGAGCACCACCGTTTCTGTCATGAGCGTTGCAACATTGCACAAATGTTCCTCGAAGGGTTTTCGTCTACTTTTTTCAAATGCGGGGTGTTATGGTAACATTCTGGGAGGTGTTTGCTGAAACGTTTCCTTTTTCCTCCTATTTTTGCTCCTTTTATTTCTCGTTCATCGATTCTCAAGGGAGGAATTTTTTTCTTTATCTTGTCTTCAACGTACCGAACCAGCATCACCAAGCCTCTTCTCGCTGATGATTGCTGGCGGTGTGCTGCGCATGGCGGATCATGAAACAACGGAAAGAGGGGAAAGGGAACTTAGAAAAAGAGAGAGTGAGAGAGCGAGAGCTAAAGCGGATGTTAGCTTTGCGTAGTCGGCCATCAATCGGCGTCTGACTTTTGTGTTGTGCGAAACTGAAAGGGCTGGCTTGACTTAGCTTGGCTGGATATAGTAAAGGGGGGGAGAGGAGGTATATGGGCATGGCAGCAGTTAATTATCGGAGATACCAAAATTCGAGATGTGAATGGCTTTTTTTTCTTCTTCAAAACACTTTGGTTCACTTTTCTGCACGTCACTTGAGAGCTTGGTATCCCCCTTGGCACTGAAAGCTTGTCAGAAGACGTGCTTTTTGTCGCTGGTATCCACCCGCATTGTTGAAGGACAAATCTGTTTAGCATCTCTGGCAAATTCTCGCTGATCTCAATAAGTGTGGAAAATGTCTTCCGCGCAGCCCTTATCCACGACCCTATAGACCTCCACAGAAGCTTCAACCGAGCCGAGAGCAGCGGGATGTAAGACCATAATATCCAGCCGACCGAACTATTGGTCGTGAGCGACCGGGATTTTTTCTTTTTTCTTTTTCTTCGCTCCGAAGTCTTCATGACTAGTGCGACACTTTGAGGTGGGCGCCATGTCGCACCATTTATTGCGACAACCTTTTGTGACGTCAGCAGCGCGAGGGAGGGGGGTGACACAAAGGAGGGGCTGTGTGTTCCCCGCCGCCGCGGCCGCCGCCGCGTCCCGTCGCGGGGAAGACGCGCCGAGTCGCGTTTATTATCGTGCTTTGCTTTTTTGGGGTTGGGCTGGGAACACCACGCGGGGGCGGAGAGGGCTGAGGGGGCTGAGGGGCGGGTGAGGCTGAACATTGCTCCCGTCGGAGCTGTCGGCCTTGCTGCCTGACATAATAAAAAATTTGGGGCTTAAACTAAAGGATAGCTCGTCGCACTGGTCCTCCAAAATTTCTTGAATTCCGTACAATTGTGAATCAATCCTGTGCTGAACCGACAGTCTCTGTTTCTTATGATTTCTAAGCACTCATTCGTGCTTTGTGGATACCAAACGATGCTCGATTATAGACATGTCAGCATACATGGTCAACGGAAGTCGGTCCTTCGCCTGACAGTTACTTGACGCATCTGCGAGACGGGTAGGACGCTCCGAGCCGGGTGGAATTCTTTATGTCTCTAGACATGCAGAGGCGAGGAGGCAATGAGCGAACCGGGGTGGAGGGGAGACTGTAGCCCAGCAAACAGTATGGTCTGCAACTGAAACCTCCCAATACTTACTTAGATCTCACTTGTACTTCGCGATTCATCAGCCTGCATGGCACAGAATGTAATATTGTGAGCGTCCTGTCGAACAGCAGAACGAAAAAAAAAAAAAAAAAAACTCTGTTAGGCTGGGGCTGATTGCGTGTTAAGCCTCATCAATCCCCCACTTCCAATCCTTGCATGGATGACGTGAGAATGCGCGGATCCAAAGTTTTGACACCCAAGTGACTCGCACAGGCCTTGTAAGTAAGATGGCATGCCCCAAGACTCCCTAGTCACATATGCAGTGCGTTGTAATGCCACAAATGCATGCGGCGATGCTGATAAATGCGTGCTACCACGCTTCCGTGGTTTTCGCATCGGCGCATCTGACGGAGTAAGTATGCATTACTAACCCAGCAGCATTGAACATCAGCCTCGCCGCAGCATCCAGACACGCGCGTTCTGAGAGAAAGCCTCTTCTGTTACGCGATATCTTTCGATGAGTACTCATTATTCAACGCTAAGCTACAGTCTAGCACCTTGCAGTGATGCACGGTTAATGTCTTATTCTGTCTTTTCGAATGACTAGTGGCGGGAGTAACCAAGCCACGGTGTTTACTAATGAAGATCAAGCCCATTTGTGTTCCTACTAGTTTCTGAGCATTTGCGAATTGCACTAAGTGGGCACATCCCGCTAAGCACTCTCCACATAACCAATCATCATCTATGTACATCCGACTTATCCGAGCACCATTGAGATGGCATTCACATGTTTCCCATACCACATTTGCATTATATAAGGCTGTCCCCAACTTCAGTCTATTCACACTCTTTAGTTGCTTTGATACCCGTTCAAGTTTTCAATATTCCGCGCAAAATTGGGCCCAGAAATACAGCCTACCTTTATACAACTCCTCTTAAAACAACTCTCTTGTGAAAGAGCTGCGTGACATCGTGATGCTCATTCATCCTCTCTAATCCCACTTGGGACCCCAATTCAACAAGGAAAGGCCGCCTCTATTCCGATGCTCGGTCAGGCCCATTTTTTCCCTCCAACCTCCCTCCGACCTCCCTCGACCTACCCAGTCTTCTCCCAGTTCCCTAGACTTTCCCCCACTTTCCCAGGCTTTTACAGGCATCCTCCTCCCTGATCAGATTTCCCTCTCCCTTCTCAAAAATATCCCTACCTTGTCAGACCCCTCTATCCCACGCCCTACCTCCCGAGATCTTCGCCTACCCGTCCAGGCCTTATCATACTTGTCCAGGCTTTTCTCTGATGCCAAGATGCCCAACAAAGGCCATAGGGAGGGTTTGTTGAAGCCGATCAGGCGAAAAAACCACTCCACGCCTACATACCCATCCATAGCAGCCTCAGGGCTCCTTTCATCAACCAAGCCGGAAAGCCACCCAGCCACCCAAGCCCCTGTAAACGTCAATCACTTCACACCCAATCCTCAAAGAAAAAGGCTTGCATGTCCATACCGAAAAAAGTACCCACGGTACAAGCCGAAGGCCTCAGCCTGCCTTCATCCATTCGCAGACATCTCGCGTCTCAAGTGGGTGCTATCTGAGCTCCAGAGATAAGGTCTCGCTAATTGAAGGCTTCTTGAAGAGAACATCTCTACAGATGCCATATGGAGCAACAGCAGTGCTTGCGGTGTCGTGCCACTTTTGATAGCGAGACTGCTTTGGAAACTCACATGCAAGCAACGGATGTATGCCAACCTTTCCAACAGCTTGAGTTACAGGTGTTTGGACGGGATATTCAAGACAAATTGAAAAAACGGTCCAGTAAAAAGTCGGACGAAGAGAAGTGGGCTGGGGTGTACCGAACACTTTTCCCCAAAGACAGAGATATTCCACTGCCTCGTAAGTCAATCAATATTCTCAAACAAGAACTACATGTGGAATTCCTTTTTGACACGTCCCACATTATAGACCACGATGAACTTCCTTTGGCAGAGTACCGCGAAAGCGTCCAGCACAAGCTACCCGGGAGGCTGAAGGATGCACTCGAAAAACTTGTAGCGCCTGATACTGGCGTTGCATCGCTTTCCGAGCCCATGATGGTCGAGATCATTAAAGTTGTGTGCGCATGCAGTGATGAGTTGCTTCGGGAGTTTCAGCACGCACAGCAACATGAAGCAGCGCAGTACCAACCACTCGGCCTTGCGTCATCGGAAACTTCTCCACAGGTCGCCTTGGAGAACTCCTTTGTGGACACAGGTACTAAAGGGTCTGTCGACATGCTACAAGATATGGTGTCAAACTGGAACCCTCAACAGCCTGCTTTTCCAGAAGTGTCGATGCCGTTCACTATGGAACCCCGCAGCAGTTTCAATGGAAGCACGAGTATCAACTACGTCAGTCAACACAGTACCTCGAGTACGCACTGGGGAGGTGCAAATGCGGGCATGCATCAGTCTTGCCAATCTCAGGCTTGGTACCCACCTCAGTGGAGCTCTCCTTATCTCGCATCAACTGGAGGCGTACTTGCTTCTACACACGGGCAGTTTATGCCGATGCTGCCAACGCTCACTAGCGACTTTGCACCTGTTGGGGACGCGAATCAAGCTTCAGCTGTTACAGGAACAAATGCCAGCTTCACCGCAGATATGTCCATTGACACTTTTCACTCAAATTCTCCTTCGTTCGAATTCTGAAAGCCCCACAGAAAAGGTTTTTTTTAGAAGTGCTTGTTTTATCTCATAAAAGATTCTATTTTTATCTCTTTACTTTTCTAATTCTTCTCTATAACAACTCTCTTATTGTAACCTAAAATACCTTCGGTGTTTCTACTTCACGAATAGATAACTAAATCTTTCGCGAATTATAACTAAAAGAAGTAGTATCTTAGAACAATTTATTATTAAAGCCGAATTTAGAAAAGAGTTAGACTAAAAGTCGATATATCTTAAAAAGGTATAGGCGGTTTCTATACGTATAGAAGTTAAACCTATGTATAGATAGCTACTATTCGTATAGAGACGCAAACGCTTGGACTTTAATAATAGCTATAAAATAAATTATAGTACGAGAAACTATAGAGAATAAGATTTCTAATTAAGTCTTTTATTTCACTTTTCTTCTCTAAAGAGATAATACTAGGACTGCTTCGTCGTGGTAAGATCGGAGCATCGTTAATATTATATACGTATAGTTAAACAAACCCAAAAGGAACTCATATAGATTAATTCAGTTAAGAAGCCTTTGAATGAATGATTCAGAGCGTTTTCAACTTCTGTGACGTCAAAAAGCTGGGCT